ACTCACACTGCAATGCGATTTAACTAAATTTGTAGAAGCGTATCCATTAAAAACCAAAGACACGATAACAGTAGCTAAAAATTTTGTAGAAAACTTTATTTTACGGTTCGGAATTCCGAAAGAAATTGCTTCAGATCGGGGTACGGAATTTATTTCATCAACAATGGCTGAAATTTGTAAACTATTGCATATTAAGCAGTTGCATTCTACATCTTACCATCATCAGAGTATAGGGGCACTTGAAAATTCTCATAAAGTTTTAGGAGCTTATTTGAGAACGATGACAGAAAATAAAACGAGATCATGGAGTACATAGCTATCTTATTGGTGTTTTTCTTATAATACTACAGTACATACGGAAACAAAGTACACTCCTTATGAATTAGTTTTCGGGAAAAAATGTAAAATTCCTAGCAATTTAGTTAAGGAAATTGAGCCATTGTATAATTTTGACGATTATTCTAAAGAATTAAAATTTAGGTTACAGAAAGCACATCAAGATGCACATTGTAATTTAGTTGCAAGTAAACTTAAACGGAAAGATAAGTACGATAAAAATGCTAATCCCATAGTCTATAAGAAAGGTGATTTAATTTTAGTGCAAAACGAAACAGGTGATAAATTAAGTGTTGTGTACAACGGTCCTTTCGAAGTTTTAGAAGAAGAAACACCAAATGTGAAAGCAATTAAAAATAGTAGACAGGTAACAGTGCATAAAAATAGAACAAAATTATATCATAAAGATGACTAACGCTATGCACGGCTCACGTTGCATGTAGTGTAGCATGTCTTGTAAAGTCATCAAAAGAAAATTTGTAATAGTAATAGTTAGCGTAGGTCATAACATGTTTAGATTTAATTTAAACCAAGTTTCAGAATGAATGATTGTGCGAATGTGTTAGTTTCAGACAAAAATTACATCTAAATGTTACCTAAATGTAATTTTTTTTTTCTTGTCCGGTAGAGGTGTAGTATAGTGTCAATAAAATGAGTAGGGAAAATTGTTAACGTAAGGAATATATATATATATAAGAGGTGATTGTACAGTTGGATAGTGTGGATTAGGTAGTGTTAGAATAAAGTTCTAAAACGCAACCTGCGTTTCTGTGACCCTTCCCCCCCGTACTCAGTGCCTAAATGTAAGCAGACAACAAACATGAAACGGCATAAGAAACGTTGGATATTACAATATTTTTTGCAACGAATAAACTTTTAAACCAAAAAGATTAACTGTGAATTAATTATAAACAACGACGGTGACGGCGCCGTAAACAATTTCACGTTTCCGGGCTATTTTAAGGTCTCCGTGACAACGGAAAGCAAAAAGCACATGTCCAGCAAGTCATGATTGCAAAAAATATATTTACATCACATTATGAACAGGAATATATGATTTTTATTAAACAGATAATCTCCGAAAGTAGGCCGATTGTTGTCAAATTTTGTATTTATATTAGGTATATCACGTAGATGGTAAAACGCTAACGAAAATTTGTCTAATTATCCCCACCAGTAATGTGATGACGTCATTTCAAAATTGTACACAGTAAATGGGTTTTAAATTGTATCGAATAACATAATCTTACACATGTAGTTTATGACTCCGAATTGAGATTTTACCCGAAACGTCCAAATTTTTGGGAAAAAAAATCAAAATTAGGAAACAACATTTTGACATTTAATTTGGAATCTGCAAAACCGAATGCTTTGAAATCTTAGAGATGGTTTACAGTTATGGTAGGCATGATAAGTTTTTATTCAAAATATATTTACTTGTCCCCTCCAAAAAATTGATGACGTCAGCTGAAAAGTTTGCTGAATAAATCCTATCTTAAATGTGCAAAGTATGACGAAGCAATACGTGTGATTTATCGTTCCCTTCATATTTTTTGGATTTGCATATACAGGATGACTCAAAAAAATTAATGAATGCGTAAATTTATTATATTGATTTAATCAGGAACCACAAAACTGAATGCTTTGACATCTTGGAGATGTTTTGAAGCTATCATAGGCATAGTAAATTTTTGATCAAAATATCTTTGCTCATCTCCCCCCTAAAAAATTGATTACGCCACCCCAAAATTTTTCCAAAAATGTGTATTGTGCAAAGTGTGATGAGTCTATAATTGTGATTTATCACTGCATAAATATTTTTTAGATTTGCTTATACGAGGTGTATGAAAAAAATTAATGACTGAGTCAATTTATTTTATGTTTAAATCAAGAATTGCAAAACTGAATACTTTGAAATCTTGACGTTTTGAACTTATTGTAAGCATGGTAACTTTTTAATGAAAATGTATCTGTTTATCAACCCCAAAAAATTGATTACGGCATCCCAAATTTTGTCGAATAAATTCTTTCGCAAATGTGCAAAATATGAATAGACCTTTAATCATTGCATTCATATTTTTTAGATTTGCTTAAACAGGTGACTCAAAAAAATTAATGAATCAATCAATTTAATATTATTATTATTATTATTAATAATAATATTATCTAACGTTGACCAACAGGCTAACCCATTTACAGGTCAACGATACCGAATATACTAAATGAAAACAAGAAAGTCTTATATTTATTAGGTGATTCCCATTGCATTAAGGCAGGTACTTAACAACTTTAAACAATTGTTATCTCATTCGAGATGGCTTCACCATAATTGTCACTTAAACGGGAAATTTTTTATGTCAGAGACTGTACACTGAAAGATGTCTAAAGAATTTTCAATTGACTTATGGTTTTGCAACATTTGAAACAGAGGGAATGAAATCATAACGTTAGTCCTAGGCATAGGGATGTCGAAAATTGAGTTCACCCGTAGCGTAGTGTTCGGGACTTTTAGACTAATAAGTTGAAGGATCTCAGGAGATTGGATATTCAAGTTTATAATGCTGTGCAATATTACTATTGAAGCAATATTTCGTTATTATTATTATTGATCAAATTAAGAACGAGCCACCCCATTTTCTGGTAAATGTGAGAATACGCTCGTCTTTATAACAATAAAATAATGATAAAGTAAGAATTATAATGATAACATTCAGAATATTTTGTTCAATGGAGGCTTATGAATAATTTTAGTCATCTGTTTTGGGGCGATAAACTTATTCAAATCAAACAAATGTCTACGTGACATTCTTCCGATGTAATGTATTCCCGTTGATAATGTGCTGCAAAAAAAAAATTACACTCATAACAGCATCCGGGATGTCGAACATCACGCACAGATGCGTTTTGCGATGCGTTGCGACGGTAGCCTAGCCCGGAAACGTCAAATTGCGAAGTGTTTAGACGTCGTTGTTTATAAATAAACCTGGGCGGTCGAAATTTATTCATCCTATCTACCCGTCTGAAGTGCGGCCCGTGCATCCTTGCCTTACTCGCTTCTCGCTTTCCAATTGTGCATCATTTTTAATAATTTACAGAAATAGTTTTATTTTCAGCGAGACCGACACTTGAAAATTATTAAAAATATTATTATTATTATTATGTCGTGGATAAGGATTTTAAAATGACGTTCAGTTAACGTTAGTTTTCTCATAATTTTCTTCGCGATTCATAACATCGGTTGCGAGCCACTGGCCTACCGCAGTCCATACGCAGCGCATAAATTTCAACCGCCTAGCCCTATTTTTTTTGTGTTACACTACATCTATCCAAACTGATATACTTGTCCTTGCAAAAATGTTGATGACGTCATCGCAAAAATTTTTTTAAATGCTCCGCTACAAAAATGTAATGAGAAAAAAAACATAATAGGCATGCCGTCGTCACGTTTCCAACAGCGAGGGAGGTACTGTCTAAACTCTTTAGACCAACTTTTTTTATATATTACTATTAATCAAGCGAAAACTAGTTTTAAATTTACACAGTATCTTTCAATCGCTATTCTGTTCACATTTCAAAGTTTTACAACTACTAATAAAAAATTTTTGCAGGGCTTTTACAAATAAATGATTCGTACATCTAGTAACCTGTGAACTTTAAAAATATTGCAGATTTGTCACTATTCGTGATGGTGAACACTTTAGATCAATTTTTTTTATATATTACTATTAATCAAGCGAAAACTAGTTTTAAATTTACACAGCATCTTTCAATCGCTATTCTGTTCACACTTCAAACTTTTACAACTGCTAATAAAAAATTTCTGCAGGGCTTTTAGAAATAAATGATTCGTACATCTAGTGACCTGTGAACTTTAAAAATATTGTAGATTTGTCACTATTCGTGATGATGGACACTTTCCAACTTTTAATTAATACAGGGTGATTTCGAAATATATGCAATAATTGTAACCACAGCATCACATAAATACCGTAGTAGTTTGGAACTATAGTAAAAACAAATTAAAAGTCGGAAACCTCCATGAACTATCCTTGATGTGATGCCACTGATCCACCTGATTTTTGGTAATGTTTCATGGTGATCGACTTTTTAATCTAAGGGATGTTTGGTCCTTGTCACAATGATTCCACATGGTTTATTTTGAACAAAAATAGCAATACAGGCTTCATCAATGCAAAATATAATAATAATCTATACATACAAAAAGGATTTGTCCTGGCTGACTGACAGATTCATCACCGCAGAATCAAAACTACTGCAGCTAGAATCATGAAATTCGGATAGTAGGTTCCTTTTGTCAAGTCAGCACCCAGTAAGAAGGACTTTGTGAAACTCTACGCCTAAGGGGGTAAAATACGACATGAAAATTTGTATGGAACTCCCGCGAGTTTCTAAGTTAGATGGGTTCACTGGGGAGGAAAAAAAGTGAACAATATTAGCCCGATTACGGGGTGAAAAATAATGTGTCAAACGGAAAAGTAAGACAGAATATTTTTTGTCCCACGGTATCTTGATATCTGTCTCTTAAAATTTTAACAGTCGTGATTCTTGCCTTATCTGTTAAAAATAAAAATAGGGATGTTTCACTAAACTACAGGTAAATGAGGACATTAAATGAGTAAAGTAGAAAAAAAAATGCAATAAAATATAGATATGTACATATTTTAATCTAAGTATTTATGAGTGATATTATAATAAATAATTTGTGATGTTCATCTGAATTCCTCTTTTATGTATAAAACGATTCATGAACGCTCAAAATTATTAAATACAGGCAAGATAAGATTTAACAATTATTAATGAAACCAAAAATAGAATAATAAAAATTATTTCACATCGTGCTTATCACATCATAAAATCACAGTGATGAAAAACATTTTGTTCAATGTCGCAACTATTAACGATCATTTTAACAACTAACCTTGAATAATTTACGAGTTTTATATTGTACCAATACTACCAATTGCGTATCCTATTTATTAACAGAATACCGTCAGAGCGCACCAACTTCAGACATATGCCATAAAAGCCCCCGCACCCGTTTATTATAACTCTCTGCATCAAATTTTTGTTTCGCCATAATCTCAGCAAACTGATCCATTTCAATATCATCGGTTAAATCAACAATATCTTCACTATGTGTCAACTTCATTTTTATAACTGCTAGAGCCATGATCAAACCAAATCTTGAGTATTTCTTCCAGTGGTCTTTCAGCGCTGAAAACGGGAAAAGTTTTTCGGGATCACTCCCCAGACTTTTCACGAAAGACGAAAAACTGTCATAATAAACTTCAAGATAGTCATTCAAATTGTCGAATACTTTCTTGGAAGCTCCAGAGTATAAACAGTACGACAGATCGCAGACAGGAGTACCAACAAACATCAACTGAAAATCTATCAGTCGCATGTCTATAGGTTTTTTTTCATTGGCGGAATTCTGGAAAAGAAAATTGATTGTTATAAAATTAGTGTAATTTTTACCTTCACGTCAGCGCTAATATACTCAAGGTTGTTTCTTGAGTAACAAGGTAATTGAATTTTTTGTTGATGCAATGATTAGGCTTAATTTAAATTGCTTTTACAATAGACTATAATGTGTACCTACGACTTACCTCGTATTTGAACATCATGTTGTTACTCCAACAATCTCCATGTAGAATTGCCGAATAATCCATATCCTTTGTTATAATATCCATTAAAATATTCGTTAGGTTTGTACTGGAGTATTTTTCATATTTTTCGATAATTTCGTCATCTTCTCCGGGTAACAATGTTGCTTTTGCCATCTTAGCCATCTCAGCCATATGGTTAGCAAAGTATTCGTTCTTAAAAAATTCCCCATAAACATTAGAACATCCTTTAGCGATCTTCTCAAACTCCTCAGGATTCTGATCACGCAAAACAAATGAATAACCATGAAACCGCCCATACGTTTTAAAAATCAGTCGAACATGATCTTCATCCAAAACGAGCTTTTTATCAAAAATCTCAAACCCAGAAGCCTTCAAGTTTTCCAAAATTAGTACTTCCTCTTCGTCCTTCACAGAAACTTTTAAACACTTGGGCACCATCTCAACGTGTGTGGATTGTCCTCGTTCTTTTTCAAATTTTTGAAAACTTGACAACACGTCAGTGTAAAAATAAATTTCGCTTTGGAAAGACATTCTAATCGGCACCATTGTCCGCACTTTTTCGTCTGTAAAAGCTGCCTTTACTACGATTTCCAGCTGTTTTTCGCTCTTCGCATCCTTGACACTGACAATGAAAATTTGTCCAAGGTATCCCTCGCCTTTCTGGTTTGTTTGCACGTTGGTAATTGTATAATTGTTGATTTCATTTTCTTTTGAAACGATTTCGATTAGTGATGTTAAATCGGCACGTGCTTTTAACGCTTCCATGTTTCACGAACTGGCGCGAACTAAACAGATTGGCTGATGAGCAAGTATTGACTGTCAACTTGTGCAATCTGTCGAGAATATTTATAGGCGTACGCACGAAAAATTTAATAAGTGAATGACGATTTGCGGTGTTGTTATTACTTCAGATTAAAAAGCAGATGTACATAGGTTACAATATTTGCGAAGAATGAACTGGATAGGACTGCGAAAGTTCATAAGTGCTAATTTGGGTATTTTGGTAAAGTATCTACCAGTGGAATGATTCTTTTTAATAATTTAAAGTAGTGATTAACAGCATGAGTGAAAAAAATGGTTCATTTGACTTCACTGGCTTTTAATCAATTTTCAAAAAAACCTTGATTTAAATAAACAAAATGTGTAAATATGCAAAAATCTGAAATGTTCAAATTCCATAGTTTTGCATATTCACACTTTTGATTAACAAAATTATTTAAAAAATTAACATAAAAACGTTTATAATGTTTATAATGTTTTTAATGTATATTGAAGATACTTTACTTTTATTTTCTACATTTGGGCGAATTCTAGACCCATCAAAACACAAGATATCAATTAACATATAACTATTTTTTATATTATGATAAATTAATTAAATAAGTTGCTCCTACATTTTTTCAGTTACTGTCTTAAACACGAAGACAAAAAATAGTATCACTTCATAACGTTAAAGTATTATAACTACTATCAATAATTTTTTTGTTTTATTAGTATATAGAGAAAATTAATTAACATTATCCCCTACGAAGGTATTCTTTGATTTGTTACCGTCAAAAATGCTGGATTACAACAAGTAAGCTTTACATTGCGTGAAAAACATAAAAAGAGCATTAAAAAAAAATACATACAGCACTACAGCAGCGATAAAATTGAGAATAAACTCATTTTTTGTTTTATCGCCCTTATAAACAAATATATAGGAGTATAAATTTTCCAAAGTTTTATTTGTTACTTCAAATTTCCAGTGTTGTGTCTTAATCCTTTTCTTTGTAATCTTCTATCTTTTCTAACTACATTTTATTTTGACCATCATGGTGTATATTTTACAACAATGTTCTTTTAATTCCATGGTATAATTTATTTTTATCTGGAAGATTTATGGATTACTAAAAGTCGATTGATGACAAAAAAAATCTTTATCTTACAGCAGGTCTATTACATATATAAGAGCTGTGACTCATAATTCATTTTATCACAAATCAATAAGTATAATACTATGGTAAAAGATAACAGATGATTTTTTTTTTGAAGTCTGTATTAACAAAATCCCAAGATATGACATCTAAATAACAAAAATTTTAAAAATCTATTTTCACATTCACCTGACGACACACAAGAAATTGGAAAATTAATTCATTTTATTATTTACTATCAGAAACTCTTAATAAAAATTAATAAACAATCTATGAAATATTGTGCAACGTTTAAATAATATCTCGCAAGAACTAATACTTTGGAGCCGCACCTTGCGACAGTTTGTTCGGAGAAGACCTCTACATTTGACCTCAGTCGAGTGGCCCGACTTTACACCGGGGGATAATTATATCCACCTTTTCATAAATTGGATCAGTTGCAACATTAACTACTAGGAACCGTATACCTACATAACGCAATTTACAACACCGAAATACTTAAACATTTTCATAATCAATCAAATATTTAAATTATCAACATGAAAGACCCACTTTTTTGGAACAAATAACCTGCGATTTTGTGACTGTTTGTGGTTAGCTGCATTAACTAACATTCATAAATTATTGCACACATTTTCAGAGTTGGTTCTTTTATTTTTTATCACAAATGGTTTAAAATATAATTGCCCCCTTTCACAATGCAAAATGTCCATATTTATAATAAAATAATATCAAAAAGGTAATGAGTTACACAACATAGCTGCTAGATTTCTGCATATCCTTTTTCACTAGGGGGCCTTTTGTCTACTTCACTATTGTACTTTATCTGTGAAAGAATAACCACAGTTTTATTTACATTCAAATGTCACTTTGTCTAATTTTACAAATAAAACAACACGAGTCCTTGCTCGATAAAACACTTTATTAAAAATACAATTGACACAAATGATTAAAATTCTTTACAAAGCATCCATTTTTGACATGTGATATAAAACATCTTTTACTCGTTTCTTAAAATCTCGATCATTATACTTATTTCTAGCAGCTTCATGTCGTTCACGATTGTCTGTTAAATCTACAATATCTTCCTGGTTGGTACACTTCAACTTCAGAATAGCAAACGTCATTGCCATTCCCAGTCTTGCAAATCTTTTCCAGTGTTCCTTAAGAAGATTAAATGGATAAATAGTTTTAACATCACATCCCAACGCTTGCAAAGTCATCGACAAACTCTCGTAGTAAATTTTAAAATACCTATCTAAATTATCATATTCTGTTTTAGAACCACCTGAATACAAACAATAGGACAAATCACAAACAGGACTCGCATCTCTGATAATCTGTAAATCCAAAAGCCGCATGTCCACTAATTTTCTACTATTTCCTAAAGTCTAAAAAGAAAATGGATACATTCAGAAAACGGTCATAATGTAAACAAACCTCATATTTAAACATCATGTTGTTACTCCAGCAGTCGCCATGTAAAATTGTAGTATGATCGCAAACATCAGTCACCGCCTTTTCGAAAAGATCAATGATTCCTCCGTCTTGATATTTTTCGTACTTTTTTATTATTTCGTCATCTTCTCCTACTTCTAGATAAGTCGCAATTGTATTACTTGTGTCCTTTAAGAAGGTTTTAAAATTTCCCTCCGGAATTTTCGTAAATTGCTCAAACACATTTCGAATAGGAGCCACAAGTTTTGCATAATCTTCTGGTCGCCGGGCCTTCAATGCAAAAGAATATCCATGAAAACGACCATAATAATTAAAAATGAAGCTAAAGTGTTCGTCGTCTAGAATTAACTTCTTGTCAAATAGTTCAAAATTGGACGTCCTCAAGTTCTCTAGACAGAGCATCTCTTTCGGAACCTCGGCATGTATTTGATAACAATGTGCGGCGTAATTTGTGGGCCTCATTCCACACTCTTCTATAAATTTATTAAGGGTTGGTTTTACTTCTGTGAAAAAATGAATTTCGTTAGCATAGGAGTCCTCAATGGGTAAAAAATTTCTGTGTTCGTCTTCTGTAAAAGCTGATTTCACTACAAGATCTAGCTCTCGGTCGCTTGACTTGTCTTTGATGGTAATCATGAAGATTATTCCTGAATATCCTTCACCTTTTTTGGTTCTTGTCAAATTGATAATGGTATATTCTGGTATTCCTTGTTCTTTGGCGACAGCTTTCACAAACTTTTGTACATGAGGACGAGCTCGCCATTCATCCATGATGTCTTTTTTTTGTTTTCTTACGGGCCAACTGATGAGACTGAGACGATCTGTGTAATAAAAAAAAATCACTTGAATCATACAAAATTACGACAGAGCTAAATTTTGGTGAATAAACTAAAGTTATTGCCACGTTTTGCTTTAAAATTATGACGCTTTCACCTTCATTTTATTCTTTAAATAACGTATGTAGCACAACTTGAGTTGCATGGATTTTTTTACCTATAAATAGCGTAGGATCGACTGATGTAAAAGATTCTCACCTGGCGTTCTGGTGTGGACAAACTACACAAATTATTTTTTTTTTAAATTTCACTTCACATTACACGTTTTGCGGACATTTGACGAGCAAGTAGATCTCTCATTGATGGGTGAACGCCATTTGAAACTTTTTCTTCAAGGTGGTAGTTTTTGCGCGTAAAATGAAAAACGTTGTTCACCTGCTATCACTTTGGAAGTGTAAGATTAAAATTAAAAACTCGTTTGTTCACTCCTGGATACATAGTAAAAAATGTCAGTTCGAAATCCAAGCGATAGCGAGGATTTTGAGACATTTAAGGCTATTATGACATTGTAACTACTTACTATACTGTACTGTGGTATATTCAAGGTTTTATCGGTTTCTGTCCATTAGCCAAAAATTGCAAACAGTTGAATCAGGCAATTTGCTTTAAAAAAATTGATCTGATCGCGTTTGCAAGAAATATTTTCCTGTCATGGTTACATTTTGTTGTGATTCAAAAAATTTTCTGATACAAATTTAAGAAAAATGATGGATTTAAGTGGCGTATTGCCCGGAAATGCTAAAAATACAATTAGTCAAGCATTTGTTTGAATAAATAAAGTTACTTCACATTCATTGCTTTTCAATTCCTTGACAAATGTTGACAATTGACATTTCGGTAAGGTAATATTACCGTACTGAATTTACATACAGGGTACAGTTATGGCTTTCCTATCAGCCAACTTTTATAATTGTAAGCATTAATAGACAGAAACCGATAAAAATTTAAAGGTTGTTAAAAAATAAATAACCAATCAGTTTAGTGCTCATTCACAATGGGCATAAAGCATAAGGATTAATGCATACAAATTTATGTTTAGTGCTCTATGCTTGTATTCGTTCACAATGAGCATAAGTGCTTATTCACAATGAGCATAAAGCATAAGGATGTCCTAAGCATTATGCTCATTGTGAACGAATACAACCATAGAGCACTAAACATAAATTTGTATGCATTAATGCTTAGGACATCCTTATGTTTTATGCCCATTGTAAATAGGTACTTACAATTTAACTCGTTACTATGGAAATTTGCAATTAAATGTCTGAATGCAACAGTTTGCAAAACTAATATTAAGCATGTTTCTGCAAATGCGACTCTCGAATGTTAAATATCTTGATACAACTGGTGCCTCAACTTTATTTGACAGACAATAATTCACTTGCAAAACTGAGAAAGGAAAAAATATGTTTGAAGTCAGTCTACAAAGACACATGGATGCTGACCAACGGGTGCATAAAGTTTAATATATCACTTCTTCTTATTATTATTATTATTATTATTATTTTAACAAATATAATAAATTTTAATAAACAAAAATATATAAATATAAAGTTCATAAGGTTGCTTCAAACTTAAAACGAAAACATTATCGTTTTTTGCGTTACAGTTCATAACGTCATAACGTCAGTATAGCAACTTGTAAAAAACTTCCAAAATATTATACAAATATAAAATTCCTATTTTTTTGCCAAAAAAATGTTTAGGTTATATTCTTTATTTTATCATTGTTCAATAATATTATATTTTTTATGAAACTGTATACTTTCTAATTTGCAAACGACAATTGAAAGAATAGTAAAGTCATTTTAAAAAGTGCTTCATTTTTTCATGTTTTTTTGGCATTCCATACCTCATAAAATACCAAAACAAAAATCTAGATTTTTTATATCCATATCTATTTATATTGGAATTAATTAGATATACTATTTCCTAAAATACTGATCTAACTAGTCTGAACTTGTAGTTATATTTTGAGGCTGCTAATTAATTAATTGATTATTATCACGCAAAATAACATTAAACACGGTTTAATCCCTTTTCTTTTAATATCATGACAAATGCTTAAAAACTGTGTATTAAAACAGCAACCAGTTTTTTGCGTACAAGCGCTGCCAGACATTGTTTTCCTACAGTGTCTGCAGTATTTGTTTTAGCGTAACAACAGCCTTAACAACATCTCTCACATGGTAGAAAGCTAACCTGAATTGACCTTTCCATTTCTTTTTATTTTATTCATCCTCGCCAGAAAATCGATGACGTCAACTCAAAAAATTTATATATGTGCACAGTACTGCATATTTATGCTTTGGTAAGTTCAAATGTTTCAATCAAGTCAGTAACCAGTTCACCTCGTTTATCTAATATTCTAAAAAGAGAAGACGTTATAATTAATGTCACCTGTACCAAAATTACCAAATTTTATTCACTTCTGTCTTATACTGTTGCTTTAGCTAACGAGAAACAAACATTTTCGAATTAACTTATTTTTTATCCGTTGTCCCTCAAAAAAGACTTACTTAAATCCCTTTTTTGCAAATTGAAATAAAACAATGTATTAAGAATTGCTTTATTCAGAAATAAACAACATAACATAACAACATAATGCAGAAACATGAATTTTCTACTCCCGAATGGTTTCAAAACTCGGCTAATATCTCTTCAAGAAAAGTTCATTCTTGACCTCTGAAGCACCACGTCACGTTTTAGTTATACCAAAAGCTGCTAGTAGTTTTGTTTATCTTTGAAACACGGTGGCAGCTGTATATGTACAAATAACTTAACTTAACAGGTATTTTATGCAATCAATCTACCGATTAAACCATCATCTTTGGCAATGGGTCAAATATTTACTCTTTTTCAAATCTACAATCTCAAAAAGAAAACTTAATATTATATTTAATACCTAAAGAGTGACACAAACACGATCAAGGACGGCCACGAATTTTTGAAGATTTTTTTTTATTTTCACTATGAGGGTAATCTGACAAGATCAAAATTCCATCAACGCCAAATCCTCAAAAATCCATGGCTGTCTATAATCTCGTTTTTTATTACTGCATGTAACGTATTTTTTACAAAGCATCCACTTCACACAAATGTTTAAGAAGCTCTTTCACTCGCACTTTAAAATCATCTTCGTTAAATTTTAAAAAGTCGGCCATTTCTTGTTCGTTCATATCCAACTGAAAATCATCTGTAAAATCTATCAAATCTTCCTTGTCAGTGCACTTCAAGTTAATAACCATTAAAGCCATTATCATCCCGAATCTGGCATACTTTTTCCAATGTTCCTTCAGAACATGAAAAGGAAATATTTTTTCCGGATTAAGACCAAATTCATGCAAGGTTGAAGACAAACTGTCGTAATAAGTTTTCAAATATTTTTCCAAATTGTCAAAGACTGACTTAGAGGCGCCTGAATAAAGACAATAAGATAGATCACAAACAGGACTTCCTGTTTTCATCAGCTGTAAATCTAGAAGTCGCATCTCGATCAATTTCTTATCATTGTTATTCGTCTGAAAAAACATTGGTTACTTGTAAAGTGTTAATATATAATACCAGTACAAACCTCATATTTGAACATCATGTTGTTGCTCCAACAATCCCCGTGCAAGATAGTTGAGTAATCACAATCTTCAGTTACAACACTGTGGAAAATATCAGCAATACCGTCACCTCTGTATTTTTCATATTTTTTTATCAGCTCATCGTCTTCTCCCGTCACAAGATACTTCTCAACCAGTATACTAAGCGATTTTAAATATGGTCTAAAATAGCCATCGGGCTTAGTCATTAACTCTTCGTACATATTGTAAATTTTATCAGTGATACGAACATATTCTTCCGGTTGCAGATCTTTTAAAGCAAACCCATATCCGTGGAAACGGCCATAAGTTGTAAAAATAAAACTCACATGCTCATCGTCCAAAACTAACGACTTATCAAACATTTCAAAATTCGCCGCTTTCAAATTTTCGAAACACAACATTTCGTCTTTATCGTCGGAAGATACTTTGTAGCATTTTGGTACAAAGTGAGTGGGTGATATTCCGTTTTCAATCTCTATTTTCTGCAACTGTGGAGACACGTCCGTATAAAAATAAATTTCGTTCAAGAAGGTCCGTGCTATGGATGAATAGTTTCTGATATTGTCATCTTTGAAAGCTGACTTTATTACAAAATCAAGTTGCTTACTAGTAGCAGTATCCTTGACCGTGATCATGTATATTTGGCTTAAATATCCTTCACCTTTTTCGTTGGTTTTTACGTCGACTATTGTACAGTTCTCGATCCCTTGGTCCTGAGCAGCACTGTTAGCGAACTCTATAATATCTCGACGATCATTTAGCACCTCCATTGTGTTTTGAAGACACGTACAGTCGAAGTAGAAATCTAGAATAAAATGAAAAAAAAAGAAGTAACAAAAACCTGAAGGTTAAAATTATGTTAGAATATACACTTATGCAGCCTAGCAAAAATAATTGTAAAAAAATTATGTAATTATTACCGTGAAATTTAAAACACAAGCAGACGATACAAACACCAATCTCTCAGATTGTGTAACTAACATTGGATGAAGCGGTTTAAGAGGAGGTATCTGTGGGAACACAAAACAAAACATTTACAACAAAGGTTCTCAAACTTTTCTCTTACGCACTGTGTGTTCGCTTTGAGTACGAATGCGCACCCCTTACTTAAATTTCGCCAGTCGTTGTCCAATGTTAACTAATATAACTAAAATATAAAATAATTTATTTTGTTTTTAATACTTCGTTTAATCATAAAAGTCGAAAAATATTTAGAATGACTTGTGGTACATATTATGATGTATTAACGTATCAACTTGATATTGTAAATAACAGCACTTTAATTCCGCGCCCCGCAGTTTGAGAACCAGTGCGCACTGGTTTACGAGGTCGAGGATTAATGAAACGTAATTTAAACCATTACGTATTAAATAAGCCTCGTCAGTTAATCAACGCAAAACCTACATTATCTAAATAGCATTCAGCGGATATTCTCACTGAGTCTATAATATTATTGAAGGTACCATCAAATTACAAAAGAAACAACATTTGTATGTTTAACCAAAATTTAACTAAAACGCAACTAAACCCAAAATTTTTTAATTGAAATTTGGGGAAAGGTTGTCTGGCTGAGTTTATATTATTGAAAAATAATTTCTTTTTCTTTTCAAGAATATTCGTATACATGATCATATTTAAAATTCTTACTACTTTTTTTTTAAGAATATAGTTGCAATTTTGCATTAAAATTTTTAGTCGTCTTAACATAATATACGTATATATACACTTCTGTGACCTGGTCCTTTGAGTCGACGACGCGGTTTACCAATTTGGATTGCGTCACAATCAGAAAAGCACATTTTGGTACTTTCGAACCGCAAACCCACATTTTTTGCGCCTACGAATCGCCACCCCATCACTGATTCAACGTCGCAAATGTAGATATCTTCTACGGCCTCACACTTACATACTTTTCATGTAAGTACTGATGATTGTGGGTGCTGAGCTTTAGGTACGGTTTTTGAGGTATTATAGTGGACTTTTTCTGAAGGATGGAATACAGGTGATATAGGTCGAAGGTCGTAAGGTTGAACATAGGCATGTGAATAGTAAAAATTATTTTGTTATTAAAAAAGAAACCTTTTAAAGGTGCAATTTGATAGTAAGATTAGTAAGAAAATATCTTATTAAATTTTGGAATTTTGTTTTTGCCATAAAGTTTGTCGAGTATCGTTTTCATGTCTGCCACAGGAATAATGGAGCTATGCAAAATATTTAGTCTTGCAAACATAATTGGGTTTTCGATGTTATGCAAAAGTCGTATTAATCATTTTGGCAATTCAAAATTATTTGCTCTAAGGTGTTTTGTGATTCTATGTAGATCGCAACATCGCCAAATTTATTTTGGAACTCTTTTAATTTTGTCTCAATTAACTCTTGATTTTTGGAGAGAGTTGTCATCGTGTTATTATACAGGGTATTTTTGAAATAGATGGAAACTTTTTTTAAGGTAATTGGTCATGATGTAGAGAATTTATGCATCAAATATTGATCTAATAAAAATCCTTTAGTTTTCGAGATAAAATTGATTGAAAATCTGTTAAAATTTGCGTGTGCGCTACTGATTCCAAAAATGTTAAAGGTAAATTTGATCACTATAGTAATTTAAAGTAGGTAAAATTGTTGCTTGTTAACATGACAATACATTCATTAGCCCATCATTTTTTGACGTTTTTGCAATTTTTTGGAAGAACAAAATGAATTTTTCTAATTCTGAAATGACTGACATGGTTCTGATGTATGGACAAGCCTTAGGAAACTCCTTGGAAGCTCGACGTTTATACCAAGAAGCATTTCCCGAACGAAGATTGCCAAATCTTAAAACATTTGCTAACGTTGTTCAGCGTCTACGAGAAAATGGGAAATTTCAACCTCGTTTTAGTGATCGTGGTCGTGAAAGGACAGAACGGACACTTGATGCCGAAGAAGAAATTTTTAATGTCGTTGAAAACGATCCAGGTATAAGCATTAGACGATTGTCTTACCGAGTGGGAGTTTCACCTTTTTTGGTATGGAGAACTCTACATGAACAAGGCCTAGGGGTGTAGGCCAGTATCATGTACAACGAGTTCAGCATTTGAAACCAGAAGATCTGCCACGTAGAGTTCGCTTTTGTGAATGGCTATGCCAAAAAAATAGAGAGGACCCTCAACAGAATAACAAATGTAGCTGCTGAAATTAGAGCACATCCCGAAATGATAACCGGGGTCGATTCTCGAACTCGTTCGCAAAGATGCGAATACGAATAGATGCGCATGCCAAGATGCTATTCGAAACGAAAATCCGTCTTCTTGAACGAGATTCAATGCGAATAGCAACTCGATGCGCATACGAAGGCCTCTGTTCGAGTGAGGATATGGCAACAGCGGCAAAATACAGAGGATATTTAAATGCGATGGTTGGTAGAACTCACGCGGGGTGAGTTTGAATCCAAGAAGGACTATTTTAATTTGTTACCTTCAAATTTATTAAGCAGCAAAACACGTATTAGCAGGATTGGCTCGATTTAAATTATTGCTTTAAAGTATTATTGTTTTTTTTTAGTTTTCTTTACAGTTTGGAATATGCAATGCATATTACGGCCCTTTTAATGCAAATTTATATCAAAATAAGTTGAACTTTAAATAGAATACAATATTTCCAACAAAATGGAACGATAATTCTTTTAAATTGTATTTTAAAGATTATAGGAGTAAATATTATAAATAACAGTATCAATTCCTTTTTTCAATGTAAATTACAATAAATTCTCTTTATTGTTCAAAACTAAGAAGTACGACTCAAGGATGACATTAAGTCGGATACTTAGGTACTATTTTAATCAGGATTTTAATCCCAAATAATTGACAGACTAAAAAAACATAAAAAAATCGTGATTAAAAAAAATGTTGATTTTATGATTTTATGCAACCCTACGTATTTAATACAAATTCTTGTGATTTTTTTACAATGATGCAGATACAAATTTAATAATGTTTATTTTTGAATGGGACCACCGTAGCCAGCAGGTATTTGCATATTAATACCTTTATTACTGCGTGTACTCTCCTAGTTTATAGAAAATTCTTAGCGTTTGGTTACCCGATATTTATTCAGGTATATTTATGCATACCATTACAACCGTTTTGTACAGTAAATGATCTTTCAGAATTCATTTTAGTTTTTATTTTTGACACAACTGCACGTATATTTGAAATGTTCGCAGTGGCTAGCCAGAATCACCTAAAAATTATTGTTACAACCATAATAAGAACGTGTTAATGTATTATTAGAAATTACCCAAAATATCGCAATAGTCCGTTGTTTCTTCATACATATGTAGCTATTATGTGTACTACACAGAAATCGGCTGTTTCAATTTAAAATTTTTAAATTTGCATCACAAATGTCAAAATTGTAAATGAAATTATAAAATTCTCACAATCAAATTGATACATTACAATTTGTGTATTTTTGGAATGGTAACCCTTTCTATTAATGTATATTAACAGATACAGCATATTAAAGATATTATATTGACGTTACAACAGAACGACCAAAACCAAACAGAGTTTTAGGTTAGCTTTCACCACTCGCAAACCAAAATGCGATCGCATCTACCCACTCGTAACTTAACGTTCGTATACGCTCGAACATTTGCGTATACCAACGTGTGCGCGCGGTTCGAGAATACCGAATCTTCAAAACCGTTCGGAAGTTGGCCACTTGCGTATGCGGAACTTATTCGAACGAGTTCGAGAATCGACCCCAAAGAACCCAACAATATTGATTAGACGTGCGGAAGCGTGTATACGAAATGGTGGTGGACATTTTGAAAACTTGCTCTAGTTGCATACGTTACGTTTTGTTTCATTTTATGGTTGATTAAATTATGATTTTGAAGTTTTAATTGTCAGTTCATTAATTATTGTCATTGTTTATTTGTTGCTAGCAATAAATTAATAGCAACAGTAGTTACACCTCGGCAGTTTTCAGTTACTAGGTTTCACATTTTTTCGTGAAACCATTATTTATCAGTGGAGGAATGAATGTTTGGATAGGGGTTAAATTTTCCTTTCAAAATTTTACTAAAACAACAAACGTTCATTTGACTTCTTAGGTTCCCTACATTCACCAGATTTTTTGTTTCCATGTATTTCAATAACACCCTGTAGTTATCGATTAGCCGTTTTGTCAGTGACATTTGAAGTTGGACTTGTTTATTAACTGATTCCTGATTTTCAGTTAACAATTTTATGGTTTTATTATTTTTTTGTTCGTCATCACTGAATCCAAGTCTAGTAGATATTTTGCCTACGAGGTTAATTAATCCGCGTTTAGATCTTATGCGAGGGATAAAGTTATTAGTTTATCTCGAGTTTCAATTATTAAATATTCAGTATGGATTAGTAGGTGCTTGAAATTTTATCTGTACGGGGTTTGTTCTTTCGAAATAGGGGGCACATGTAAACTATTGTTGATTTGATTAAAGTAGTTAAAATTATTGTCTAGATGTTTAATTAGGGGCTCAGTTGCAATAAAGTAACTTATAAAGATAAAGGTATAGTGATTTTGTATTGTTTTGATTCGGCCAGGATAGAAGGGAAGTATTTGGGATTTAATTGCTGTTTTGAGTCGACACAAGAGGAAGTAAGATGACGATTGAGAAGAGACTCTCCTTCATAAGTTTTTCTGGGTTTTTTCAGATTCGACTTATGATGTGTGCTTTGTTTGGTTAGCAGTTTTTTTTTAATTACACCGATCGACAAAAAAAATTTTTTTTTTGAATCTGTATTTTAATCATTATTTTCTAATTCTCTATATTGAAAAATCAGGAAAAACTTTGTTTTCTTGTCGATAACTTTGCTTTTGTAACTTTCACAGCAATAGATAAATATTTAAGGTTTTGAGTAATAAAATAATTGCTTTACTAAATGAGGCTAGGGCAATTTCACTCATATGACTTATAATTAGTGTGCACGTGCGCGTGATACTTAGCTATACAGTACATTTCATGTAACGCCAAATACAAAAATGTCTTTAAAAAGTTGTCAACATGATGCAAATTCATTTTGCTACATATGCAGAGAGAAACAAGGGATAAAAAATTTGTTTTGGCTACAAATGTTATTAGACTTTGTGTAGCATATGAAGCTTATTGTAACCTACATGTTCGAAGTCAAGACAAAAAGTGGGCTTCTCGTGTAATAATTGATCCAAATTCAAAAAAAAAGTTTTTTTTTGGGCGACTAACACAAAATAGATGGCTTTACGTCTCCATTGACGGACGTAAAACGTCACATTTGGTAATTAATTGTCAAAATGTACTTCAGGGCCGTATTTACTTCACGTACTCATCTGTCAATACTTTATATACTCATCTGTCACGCCAAATGATACGAAATGAAAATAATCGTCGCTCAAAACTCAGCCGTGAATAATCTTCTTTGGCTTCTTCTGAATTGTTGAACCTCGTCCAATAATCTTCAGATCGGCCAAAAAATGTTTTCTTCACGGTCTTGATACACAAATTACATTTTTTTTTTATTTTTACATGGAATAAATATGTAAAAGCAGGAAAATATTTTAGAAATTTTAATTTCATTCTGAAAGCCACAAAAGCAATCTTTTTCGAAGGAAACAATTTTTTCCTTATTTAGCAGTGTTAAAAGAATAAGAATCCGGTATACAGAACCCACACTCAAAATTCATGTTGACCGGTGTTATCATTATCGGAAAGGATTTTGACTTTGTTTTATCACGTTCCCTACTATTTACATAGATGTATTGTTTCTTTTCCTTTTTTAATATTGTTTTATGTTTGATTTTGTCATACGAACTTTTGTTTTTTTCTTTATGATGTTAAATATGATGTAAAAGAATTTTCGCGTCTGAAAACTCAAAAGGATTGCCTGAATCAATATGTCCCTTTACGACCTCAAATGGTGTATATCCAGCGAAAGAGTGAGTTGTATTGTTACGTTACGACAGCTAGATTAATTAACGCATCTGCTTTTTTATGTCTCTTTTTGGTAGTAGGTATGAGTATCGGGTTTCCAACCGCTGAATGAACAGTTTCATTATCAGATAGCTTCGGATCTGGAGGTCTGATTTGAATATCTGACAATATTTGAATGTTGGGTGGATTTTTTAGTTTTTCCGTTGACTCTATTGTTATTGTTGGGCTAATTGGGGTTGATATCTTATCAGAGTTTTCCAAACAATCGTCAGATGTTATGTCGATTTCTGCATCTCCTACATTAACAACGAGAGAAGATCCGTATCTACGGTATCAAGTATTTCAGTATTAAGTAAGAAAGATGTATCATTTGTTTGTCTGAAATGTAGAGGGATGTATATGAAATTGTTTATTGACCAAATCTATGGAAAATTTTAAATATAGAAGTTGTTTAATACCTATAATGCCATCGAAGAAACTATGGAAATCATATAAGACAAATTCGAAGCTTTGTTTCTTCTCCGGTAGCCGTTTTGAGTTTTGTTGTGGATGGTTGATGGAAAGTATTTTTATGCAATACACGGTTTAATGATCGACGCATAAGATCATGTATCAACTAATAATAATTTGAGAGGCGGATGGTGAATTTGAATTTATGGGAATTCATTGCAATTGAAAACCGTGTTTACTTCGTAAGCTACATTTGTTTGAAAAAGGAGGTTAACTTGGTCGTTTGTTTGTGGTATTGGGTTATCTTCATTATTAGTTTGCTGATAATCATAGTCTGTTTGATACGAAAGTTCGTCGTTCGGTTGATATTGATGATCTGTTTGGTCTTTACAGATAGCGAGATTTTCATAATTGTTGTAATCGTTTTCACTATTTGTAACGAAAAAACATGCTCCTTGTTCTGTTTGCTGTTCGTCATCTATTTGATATACCTAATTCTTCGGATATGAAGTTTTGATTGGGTTCAGAGGGGTTATGACAGTAATTAGGGCGATTGAAATTTTGTGGCGACCTGTGTGTAATTGACATGGGCTGTGTTTAGGTTTTAATCATGGGGGCTCGAAATGTTGTTGACATCTTGGAATTTATTAAAAATCTCTGTTTTGGTGGATTTGGGTTTCTAGTTAATTTAATGGGTCGATTTGGAAATTGTGGTTGACCTTTTTGGAAAAAATCCAATTGTTGAGTTTCGTATGGGTGTTTATAGATATACATAAACTCTGAGAAGAGAAAAAAAACAAGAACAAACGAAACGAAAACAAAAGGATCTTTGCGTGAATTTCAAAAGGGAAAAAGAAAAGATGAGAAAGATGGGATGCTCAGACTCACCGTTGCGTGATGTTGGCTCTTCCACTTGAAAGATTTTTTCTTCCGGGCCTAACTTGATGTTGGGTCTTCTTCAATTTTCTTCAAGAACCTCTTCGAGTTTGTCATGATGCAAATCTTCGAAGCGGTGTTGGTACTTCTTTGTTTTACGAATAACGCTTAAGGAATTAAGATTCCACGTCGTGAAAACTTTTGTTCGATACGCGTTTGTTCATGTCCGCGTTATCCTACCAACTGCGCCAATTAACTTGTTGATTCAGACAAGTCTCAAAAAAATTTTTCAAAAGCACCAACTTACAGAGTAACCAGTTTATTATTTTATTGTATTACATTGAAATTTTGGTTTATATACAGAGTTCAAGTGGACTCAACTTAAATTTTTTGAATTAATAACACTGCTTTTCCTTTGTATTTTATGTAATTTTAAATTATTTCTCTTTATTGGAGTTATCTCGTTTAGTAAATGAAATACCAATAAATTAAATTAATAATAATAATAATAATAATAATGTGACTAGAAATCAAAATATACTGCAGTGCTTTTAAAACCAATGATTTCTAATGGTGTAAAAATAAATTAAAACATGGTTTTATTTAATTTATATTGCACACATTGTAAAAATATTTTTTTTACAAAGCTTCTATTTCACATAGATGTTTGAGAAGATCTTTCACTCGTACTTTAAAATCATCTTCATTGAATTTTAATAACTTAGCCATTTGTTCTTCAGTCATGTCTTTTTCAAAGTCATCTGTGAAATCTATCAAATCCTCTTTATTAGTGCACTTCATTCTAAGAATCACTAATGACATTATCATTCCAAATTTGGCATACATCTTCCAATGTTCTTTAAGAACATGAAAAGGAAAGATTTTTTCTGATTCAAGCCCAAACTCATTTAAAGTCGTAGATAAACTGTCGTAGTAAATTTTCAAGTATTTATCTAAATTATCAAAAATCTCTTTAGACGCTCCTGAGTATAGACAGTACGACAAATCACAAACAGGACTTCCTGTTTTCACCAGCTGCAAATCCAGCAAACGAATCGTGGTAAGTCTTTTACTTGTGTTGTGCACCTAAAAAAGAGAGAATAATTATTTGTAGAGCTAAATTTGAGATTAACACACGTCATATTTAAACATCATGTTATTGCTCCAACAATCTCCATGCAAAATCGATGAGTAATCACAATCTTCAGTTACAAGACTCTTGAAAATATCAACAATACCATCACCCAAATATTTTTCATATCTTCTAATCAGCTCGTCGTCTTCTCCTATCACAAAATATTTTTCAATAAGCGTATTAAATGATTTTAAGTATGTGTCGAAACTCCCGTCGGGGTTAGTGATCATCTCAGCGTACACATTGTCCAATTTATTAGTTAACTGAAGATATTCTTCCGGACGCTGCTCTTTTAAAGCAAATCCATATGCATGAAAATCTCCGTAAGTTTTAAAAATGAAACTAACGTGCTCGTCATCCAAAATTAACGACTTGTCAAATATTTCAAAATTCGACATCTTCAAATTTTCCAAACACAGCATTTCAGTTTTTTCTTCGGTCGACACTTTGTAACATTTTGGCACAAAGTCGCTAGGTGAAACCCCGTTTTGAGTTTCTATTTTCTTCAACTGTGGATACACATCCACATAAAAATAAATTTCGTTCAAGAAGCTTTTCCTTATGGGTGCATATTTTCTAATGTTATCATCTTTGAAGGCTGATTTTATTACAAAGTTGAATTCTTTGTTAGTAATAGTGTCTTTAACAGTTACCATAAATATTTGTCCTAGATATCCTTCACCTTTTTCGTTGGTTTTTACGTCAATTATAGCACAGGTTTTTATTCCTTCATCATGAGCAACACTGATAGCGAACGCTGTGACATCTGGATGATTTTTTAACACTTCCATTGTAACTAAAACAGATGAAACTACGTATTAGGAAAGATCTAAACAAAATGATAAGATTTTAAATGTTTCAGTTAAGTACCCATCTCACCACTTCAATTATGTTATCTAATCTATATCTACACATAGTAATTACATATTTTAACAATTCGGCTTATATAATACAGTAAATTATATATTATATAACACATACTATGACTAGGTAAAGTGAAACGATACCTAATTTTCGTAACAGAGTTTATTGCAAATAATTTGACGATCTCACACTGCATTCACTAAAAAAACTTTTGTTTCTATGTGGTGTGAAATACCTTCTATATTTATTTAATTTACTGTCTATTTTTTTATTTGTAAATTTAGTATGATGCAACATTTATTAATAGGTAGTAATATCATTATTGTAATGCACAGAGATGTAGAAAGAAACACATGAGGTACATGATTGTTTTTATTAATTATTTAAATCTTAATTTGGATATCATACATTTATTATATTACATTTATTCATTTAATTAGGCATTTTAAAACATGATGTTTTTTTTTCAGCAATAATACCTACTTACTAAATATTTCCCAAAAATTTTGCACAAATAACACAAGACATTACCGTAAAATTAGACAGTATTTAAATAATAAACAACGGACACTCAGAGGAAACACTGGTTCATTAAATTGTATAACCTGTAACAGTTGACGAGTATTATCTGTTGGGAGTATGGAATGGAACATTATTTACAAGGTCACAGCATTAATCAAACAGAATTCACTTCAGGACTGGCTTCAGGTAATAAATAAATGGTTTAAACGCTCCAAAAAATAATAAAATTTGGTTTTGGGATTTTATGAAAATCGCTGTAAGTTAAAAAAATATACATAATACCAGTCACAGTGTAAAACACTTTTAATCAACCATTGCTCTGCATTCTCCTTAACTGTTTTAAAATATTATTAATTAAACAATTTGGTTTTTTCGAGAAAATCTGGATGTCTAGGGTCAAGGCAGATTCATACACTATAAGTACAAGAGCATGTTATTTTTTTACATTTAAGTAGCATTTACCATACAAAATTTTGAGGCGATGTTGGTGGGAACGATCAGACAAATTTCGGTTAGCGTTTTACCATCTACATGCTATTCGTAACATACATATAAAATTTGGGAATAGTTCTGTCCGTAAATTATATGTCTAACAAATATGTATATATCGATACAGACGACAAACGCATACAGACAGACAGAAACGGGAGACCTAGTTTTTCATACTGTCAAACGTCGAGAAAACATGAAAGCAGCCATTCACCGAATGAACGCTATTACAATTCTTCCGTGGCTTACACTCGGGAAGTAATAAAAGAATTTACATTTGCAATAATCTTAACAAAACTAAATACAAGAAAAACAATTTAATTCCCCAGTTACACTAAAAAAATAATAAATATTTTAGTTAAATTCCAAAAAATCTCTAATTGTCGCTTTCAAATTTTCGATAAGTTTCTTAAATATTCCTCTGCGAGAAGCCATTTTTATTATTATACTCGATCTAGTTAAGTACCAGTTTGGTTACAAAGTTTTATAAGGTTACATTAACACGTCTGCCCAAAATATCAATTTAGTTTTTTTAAATACTAAATAGTAACTACTACTAAATGGGTTTGCTCATAACAAAGTAATGTTTAGGTGTTAAATTAATAGATTTTATGATTATTATTTATTAAAATGATTCATGATTAAATGTTTTCTAGGTGTAAAATTAATAGATTTTGTAATGAATAGCTTTGGAAGGGCAAAAATACATCGATCTCCAAAAACACAACTTTATTGTCTGATATTTCTTCATCTCTTCATCTCGGCAACGGCAGTGCCTGCGTGTGGCTGTAACATTATTAAAATGAGTCATAACTAAAAAAATTCATGACAAAAATATCACTTCTATTAAAAATTTATTTCACATCTCAGTTTTCCACACGTGTCATTCAGAAAGAAAAAAGGCAAATTTTTGGAATTATATATTTATATATTTTTTTTTAAATTAGTCATAATTAAACGAATTCTAGACAAAAATATCAGTTATAATAAAGATTTACAAAAGAAAAGCATTTTGTCTTTTGTTTTCTATTGTCTACTCACGATAAATTGATATTTCTAATATAAAAATGTATGCAACAAATTATTCAAATTTTCATCGAAAACATACCATTTACCATACAATGCGATTAAATTAGTTGAGTTAAAGGCGAAATCAGCGTTTTTTTATCATTTGTCTTTTGTTTTCAGTTGCCTTTTCAATTGTGATACGAACCTATTAAAGATATTTTCTTTTTCTGTATGGAGAACATATAAACAAGTAAAATGCCCCTGAAAGTCTGGCAAAACCAGTCCATAATGGAAATTTTAGTTTTTCTGAACCAGATTTTTTATCTTTATTCTTTACTGGTAATACAGGATGATATAACTTTCTTGATGGTAAAGTAGGTAGCACTTTTTTTTAATCCATACCATTTAGGACCATACCAACACGTTGCTTGATACAATATTAATTGGCCTGTGATTTAATGGAGATAGTCGGAGTTTTTGTGTCGCCGCACTGAATATGCAGATGGTATTTAAAAATAATTCAAATAACAAGTGTCATACACGAGATTAAGTTGAACAAGTGTTTTGTGGTTTATTGATTAATTGCTATGTTTTGTTTCAGGGACAGAATGAATGCGCAAACACCTCCGTCGTCATCGTCATCAACAGATAGTTTAGATGAAGATCCACAAGATCATTTGTAATTGTAATTAAATAATTCTATACATAACCTTACTAATACATTACTAAAGAGATTAAGTATTTGAAATTAAATATTTTACACGTTTTTTTGCATTACTCCCAAAAGTTGCTTAGAGGTCTAATTTATGAAAGTCTACATTCAGTGTAATTCGTTTTGGATGGACTGTTAAAAAATGTAAATGATTGTATGAGAATTAAAATATCAATTTGTCGTATATTACGAGTATAGAGTACACATTTTGTTTCAATATATCAGCTTGTCCTGTAATTTATTGTGAATTCCTCAATATCATACATACTTTTTATTTCCATTATACTTTCAGGCGGGCAAATATATCCACCCACACCTTGACTTAAATATCAATATTGACTCAGGTAGCACAATGTCTCTAAATAGTGAGCTCCACTCATCAGAAACCCGTGTACGTTATCAATTTGTATTTGTTGGAAAAATACGAATAGCCGCCCTGCAAATGGAAATCATGGATTCAAATCCCGCTCCGGTTGTACATTTTTCGTCATTTACCAAAACATATACAAGTCTTTCATAGTAGCACGGTGGGACCGGTTTCTACTATATGGAGTTCTGATTGCCTTCCGCTGGAGCGATTCCAGACATCTAATATGTTGTACTACCGAATGCCAAACACTATTAGCAAATTAAAACAAAGACCTCACAAAGGTTTTACATATTTTTGAAAATACTACAGAGGTAGCGTTGGCAAATGTTTCGCTTAAAAGAAACAACCCTTCTTCGTGACGCGTAAGACATACTCTGACCATGATAGATCGCTGTTGATGATAACACCTAAATCAACGTACGAATTTGTAATAGGCAACTTAAAATTTCCCATAAAATATGGATGCCTGGGGTTTTATTACCAACATACAAAATCGTACACCTGACTAAGTGTCGCAGAATCAACAATCAATCTGTAGTTGTAGGCTACGTAGACAATAAAAACTAATGGACCGAGCACTGTCCCCTATGGTACTCACTCGTAACATCAGTGGTTTTACTGAATGCTTCTCGACCTTGACACGAAAAGCCTCACTCAAGAATGAATTAATCCATTAGAGAAGATTTCCTCGTATACCTAGATGTTGAAGCTTATGTAGAAGACGATGATTTAGAACTTTCTCAAATGCTTTGAAGAAATCGAAATTGACTATTTCAAGAGACACTCAGAATCTAAGTCAGACAAACACCAAATAAGATTTTACTGAACCGATTTCCAAGGCAAAAAACCCAAGCCCTTTTAAAAAAAGGCAAAACGATTGTAGTTCTCCAGTCGTCTAGTAAGAAACCTGATTTAAATGATTCCTGCATTAGAATAGTAATAGGGACGCTAATTACTTCCGCACAATTTCTTAAAATATTAGCAATTTTTAAATCTGAACCTGGAGACTTGGACATCTTTAATTTTTTTAACATGCTACAACCCATATTTTCGGAAAAACTACTACAAAGAGAAAAAGCTTTTGTATGACTAATAATCATGGGCATTAGATCAAACGATTGTTTAGCTGCCCGTTTCTTGTTTTATAGGTTTATTTTATTATAAATCACTTCTTGAATTTAGATTGTTTACGTTTGTAGTTCAGTAGGTGTCCGCCTCCGAGGCGCCTGTGGTGTGTCTTACTATCTGCTGATTTTGTTTACAAAGGAGTTATATAAAATCGATAAATTACCTATCAAAATCATTGTATTTATTTTGTTAATCATAATAGAAAAAATTGTATCCTTATTTTCATCCTTACCTGATTTTGACACTATTTAACTTGTTTACTAAAAGGAGAATAATGCCTTTAGTTTGCATAATATGCAATTCGGCTGTGGCAACTACAACACCATCTGTCAAATGTATAAAGTGTAAAAATATGCCCATATAAAGTGCTTAGGTTTAAATGAAGCTAATGCAGCCTTGAACTCTGAATGGTCATGTCAGAGTTGCTCTTCTTCTCATGTCATAGCTTCGCATTTATTTTCTCTCTCTGATATCGAACAACTGATGGAACGACAATTTAACTGATGACATGAATATGTTTCAACTTCTGGGGTACCTCAAGGTCCAAATTTGGGCCCCCTGTTATTCGCATTATATATTGATGACCTGATTTCAAGCTTAAATGCAACAGGTTTGCCTTTGCTGATGACCTTAAAATTTTCTTTCGTGTCATGAATTTTGAAGACACCAAAGAGTTACAGTTGAATTTGAACAAAATTAGTGTACGGTGTACTCAAAACGGTCTGAAACTTAATCGGGATAAATGTAACTTTGTTAGATATACTCGTAAAGTAAATTATTTTTCATCTTTGTATAACATTGATGGTGTTGCAGTAAACTCTGTTGAAAAGATAAAAGATCTTGGGGTACTATTTGATTCGAATTTACGTTTTTGTGAACACAATGATAGCATTACTTCCGGTGCTTCTAAAACCTTAGGCTTTATTATGCATGTTTCTGCTAATTTCAGAAACATAATGCTATTTAAGGTATTGTATTTTGCCTTAGTTGCAAGTAAACTATAGTATGCATGCATTGTCTGTCAACCTTATTATTTGAAAAGACAGTTAGATACTGAAAGAATTCACCCGTTTTCTCAAGTATATTTAGTTCAAAATTCATGGTGTATACCCTGAGATGAATATCAGCTATGATGCATTGCTTCAAGAACATCATTTTAAATCCTTGCTTGAGAGACGAAACTACTTAAGTAAATGCTCGATTTATGCATAAACTTATTCGTAATGAAATTGGCTGTGTGAATCTTCTTTCGTACGTTAATATTTATCCCCGCATATGCTCAAGACATTCAGCAACGTTTTATTTACTAACACCCAAAACTAACTTGTTACGAAAGGCGCCAGTTACTAATATGTGTCGACCAGCCGACAACCGAAATAGTAATTTACACAACTAGTTCGGGATAGCCTGCTTCCCGCATGAACGCTTGTTTGCGGCACGACCGAAGGGAGTGACGCATTTGCGTGAAAGCGGGAAGCAGGCTCACGAACGTGTTGTGTACAATATTTTTTGCAACGAATAAACCTTTAAACTGAAGAGATTAACTGTGAGTTATTTATAAACAACGGCATTGACAGCGGCGTCAACACGTCACAATGTTGACACTACCCGAGTATTTTAAGGTTACCATGGCAACGGAAAGTTAAAATGCACGTGTGCGGGAAGTTCGAACTCCCGCACCCTGATGAATGCGCGAAAGCCATCAAAAAAGGTCATGAGTGCAAAAAAGATATTTCGCCTTGGTGCATATAAACCTAATTTTACACGTCCTTTGAAAATTGTTTATGAGTCTGGAAAAGAAGCTAAACGTGTTTTAAGATCCAATAAGAGCAACACAAACAAACTATTACACTTTCGTCGTAATTTAACCATACTACAAAGAAATTCGAATGCTGATATCCTGAAGGAGTTTAACGACAGAAAATCTCGAGATGAAAATGATATCTCTCTGTCATACAAAAATAATTTGGTCCAAATTGCTTATAAGTTTAATGTTAATTCACAGCAGTCAAAAAACGTTTAAATTTTTATTATCAAAACGCGGGAATTAGGACTACTCTTAAAGAATTTTCAGCAAAGGTTAATTTATCGATATATCACTTTATTATTATAACTGAAACATGGTTATGTGGTGATATATCTAACGAAGAGTTACAGCTGCGTAATTATACAGTTTTTCGTTCTGATCGGAATATTAATTCTAGGTAGAAGCTTCGTAGAGTGGAGTATTAATTGCAATAAATAAAAATTTTAAATGTGCCAGAGTTTATCATAGTCAAAAGGTAGAAAGTGTTTTTGTAAAGATAAATTTCGATAATTATAATATTGGTGGAGTCTATATTCCTCTATCATCAGATATTATTACCTATCAAAATCATTGCTCTGACTTAGAAAAGATTTTTCAATTGTTTCGTGATTCTGATTATTTCATTGCTGAAGATTTCAGTCTTCCACGTTTATCTTGGAATGATAACAAGGTAAAATTCGTATCAATGAATTATCCTCATGATTAGTATCAAATTATTAATGATATTTACTCTTTTTTAAATCTGAAACAAGTCAATAATGTTCCTAATAACAGAAATGTTTTTCTAGATCTTGTTTTTACAAATATATTTAATCTACAAGTTACAACTGCCGTTGATCAGATTTTTGACGAGAGTTTTCATTACATTCCATATTCGTGGTTCGTTACTTGTTTTCCTATATCAAAAACTGTTAAATTAAAGTGTCAAGTATTTGATTTTCATAATGGTAATTATTATACGTTGAATAATTATCTTGCGTCGATTAATTGGAATATTGCGTTCTCTGATCTTGATTTGAATGAAGAGGGATCAACATTCTATAATTTCCTCTATATAGGAATGGATGAATTCATTCCCAAAAAAACTGTTAAACATAATTGTTCGTCATACCCTCAATAGTTTAATAAAGGGTTAATCGAATTGTGCAAAAAGAAAAAAGTTTATCATTGTCGTTTTAAAAAGCCAGGTAATTTTGAAGACTACTTATCTTTTAAATACTTAAGATCTCAGTGCAAACATGTTAGTAATAGATTTTATACTTCTTATATTAATAATAGTTTATCAGATAAAAAAAGTGGGTGGGGTTCCGAGTGAAATGACTTTTAAAGAAGATATTGGCCAAGGTGGTCCCGAAATCTGTAAATTATTTGCCAGTTTCTTTTCGTCAGTTTTTGTGGATGATGACAATAACCCTCTTTTTTATGATAGCATAAATCATTCAGTAATGGTTAATGACTCAGGTGTAAAAGTTAGTGTCTCTAATGTTATTGAACGTATTTCTCATTTGAAACCTTCGAATTCTTTTGACCCAATCTTTATTTTTATTATTCAAAATATCTTTAAAAGAAGGAGCTTTTCCTTATTTTTGGAAAAAACGTTCTGTCACAACAATTTTCAAATCCGGTGACAGGCAAAAGATTGAAAATTATAATATAATTATATTCAATCTTCGATACCAAAAATTTTGGATTGTATTGTATCCAAACAATTACAGTGGGTCTCTTCTAACATTATTTCAAACAAACAACATGGATTTATTAAAAGCAGATCTACTTTAACGAATTTACTAGAATACTCCTGCTACCCTAAACGAAGCCTTTGCTCAAAAATTACAAGTAAACGCAGTATATATATACGGATTTTTCAAAGGTATTTGACAAAGTGAATCATAGAATCTTATAAATATATAAATTAAATAACATGGGATTTGCTCCTGGCACAATTAATTGGTTGGTTTCATTTTTAGTTGACAGACCACAAGAAGTAAGAATTGATTCTTACTTATCGTCTTCTTATCTTACTTATCATCTGGTGTCCCTCAAGGGTTGCATTGTGGACCTATTTTGTTTGTATTGTTTATTAAAAATTTAATTTCTCGTTTTCGTTTTTCAGAATCTTTGTTATTTGCTGATGACTTGAAATTGTTTAAAATTATGAAATCTTTAATTGATGGGTCAGAGTTGCAATGTGATCTGAATATTTTATTTGACTAGACCATCAAAAATATATTACTTTTAAATATTGATAAATGCTATGTTATTTCTTTTCTTAATATCTAATCGAAAGTTAACTTTAATTACACAGGCCTGCGAAATATAACTTTTAAATTCCCTTTTAAGTAATATTGTTTTTTTTTAGGTATTTATGTATGCCGAATTAAAATATAACTCTAGTTTTTTTGTAGCACATCGAGATTTATTTTTATGTAGGCCTAAATATTCATAGGTTTTCAAACAATTTTTATGAAAAAATAAAATATAAAGAATATAAAATTGAATGTTTATTTATTAAATGAACTAAATTAGTTATAAACAAGACTTAAAAAAACAAATAAATCAAGAAGCTTCTTTTTTTCTTTCTTCAAAGCTCTGATTTAAGCGTTTTCTCTTGTATTCACGATAGGATGTGTTATTGCTGTTACATCTTTCGCATTATATCATTTTATATTTGAATAGCAAAAGTAACAATCGTCTGTATGATTTTGTGGCTCCATCCAAATCATTGGTGTCAGCAAACTTATCTGAAGAATTAACCCATTTCCGAGAAGACATTAGTAATTTTTGTTTAAATTCAGGGTAATAAGCGCATAGTCGACACAAATAACTCTTACTAAGCTGAACACGAAATGAAATATCAACACCATTATCCATATATATTATTACCACAAAATCTAGAAGTTAATTTTTATAGTACTAAGAACAAAACTGAAAAAAATATTTTTTGCAGAAACTGTACGTGATAGAAATTTTTGCAATTTTTTTTTATACATGAGTGTCTAAGACCTACCAAAATTACTACTTGATTTTGTTGGGGGAAAACCATCGCAGGCCTGTGTTATCATCTGGGTAAGTCTGTGTTGGTTCCTGTTAGTGAAATCAAGGATTTGGGTATTATCTTCGATTCAAAACTGACTTTTAAAAGTCATTATAACCGCATATGTAATAAATACCTAACAGCATGTTAGGTCTAATCTGGAGACACTGTCTGTTGGGACTCTTAAAATTCTGTTTACTTCTTTAGTGCGGTCTCAGTTCACATACTGTTCAGCTGCATGGCACCCATATTTTAAAATTGACATTGAACTATTAGAAACTGTGGAGAAAAAATTTCTAAGATTGCTTAAATTTAAACTCAACCGTCCTCTTGTTAGAGGAGATTACACCTGGATAAGAAATTAACTTAATATGCAATCTCTGGAATGTTATCGTAAATTTTCAGATATTTGTTTCCTTCTTGGTCTTGTGGATGGTGATACTGATAATTCCTCTTTGCTATTAAAAGTGACATTTTTACTATACCCAAAGAATATACGTTTAACACGGAGTAGGACAACCTTTAGAATTTCAACTTCTTCGACACTTTTCTCTCAGAATCATCCTATTTTACGTATGATGGCTTTATTAAACTTTCTTGTCGACACTTACAATCTAAATTTATTTGATAATAACAAATACAGATTTAAACGCAAACTGAAGGCCATATTAATGTCTTGATGCTAGAAGAATTATTTATTTCTTTATTTTGTATTATTTTATTTTATTATAATTTATTGTTTATTTATTTAAATATAACCGTTATATAAATATAGTTATCTTCATACTCACGTATGGTTAAGTGATTTTTTACTTTTGTTTGTTTTCTAAATTGGTGTTAGGTATCTTTATTGAAAAGTTTTTCCAGTGTAAGTATTAGTATATTGACATGTACTATTTTGTAAAGGAGTTTTCCCATTTATTAATAAATTAAATTAAATTAAAGTTACATTAAATTATGACCAGTTTTTCAGTAATGTACTTTTAGGGCAATTATTAGGAAATTTTCTGCACACCCGTTTATGGTTATTTCAAAACAAAAAATAAATAATTGATTATTTTAAGTAATTTTGCTATAGTTCATTCAATTTTTTTTTTTTTTCAAAAAGTATATGATTTCTCTCAAACTGTGCAAAACAATTTTACTTGACAAATACCTATACACTACAAACCCAAAAGGGGTTCCCTATTTCGTAAACGTCCGAAAATTTCGAAAAAAATCAGTACCTACTTGCAGTATCATAAAATTATGCCGGCACTGATTTTCATGAGTACTGAATTATGTAGAGTAAATCAGTCGCTAGCTCTTAAACTAGAATTTCTAATACAATTTTTAGTTACACACGTGTGCGATTCAGCCAACAAGAAAATTTGGTCAATTTTATCACTTGTGGTTTTTAAAACCCAGGGAGTTTTACTTACTAATCGCTTAATTAATCTAATGAATGTTTCGTTTAAAAAGTCTGTTGTGATGCCATCTAAAATAGAGCGTAACAAACAATTCGTCACTTTAAGTCATGGGTAATTTGAATGACAAAGGCACAGAGGTTCTCGTAAAATGTTTTTAAGATTCGTTAAACACTTAATTAACGTTTCGGCAAATATCATTTGTCAGAATCAGTACTTCAAAGACGTGTGTGACATAATGGTAAATCCCGAATTACTGCCTTCGGTTGTATAATGATTCATAGGAAATATCTGTAGAATTGTAGATTCATTGAAACAATAAAACATGACGTACCTACTCTATTTCAATTGTTAATGTACGATATTTCTGCGTACCAATAAACTTTAATGGATTCGAATTCCACAAAGCACATTACACCTAAACAAACGGAGCGTATTACGAATTACAACTTGGATTTATGTGTTGTTATTAATTCTCTCAATTTTCTTCGAAGAATCTTGCCGCTTGGGTTTTTAGGAATCTCCGGTATAAATATAACACCACCACGTAGCCTTTTATGTGAAGAAACTCGCTCTAAAATAAATAATAAAATTTCAAAACTCTAAATTAACTTAAAAATAAACAAACCTGCAACAAATTGTTTTACTTCGTCTTCAGTTAAATTAACATTTAAATGTTTAGCAACAAAAGCTAAGGGAAGTTCGCCCACATCTTCGTCTGGCAATCCAACAACTCCAGAGTCTTTTATTCCTGGGTGTGTTAACAAAAGAGCCTCTAACTCAGCAGGAGGAACCTAAATAAAAACTTTGACGAGATCTCTATCATTACTTAAAAAATTACTTACTTGAAACCCTTTGTATTTAATCAATTCTTTCAACCTATCAACGATATAAAAATATTCTTCGTCGTCATAATACCCCAAATCTCCAGTTAGCAACCATCCATTTCCTGTGAAAGTATTTTTATTTGCCTCTTCGTTATTGTAATAACCTTTCATAATTAAAGGCCCCTTGAAACACAGCTCTCCAATTTGATTCGGTCCAAGCGATTTTCCTGTTTCCGGATCCCTTACTTTACACGAGACGTAAGGACAAAGTTTTCCCGAAGAACCGAACCTTTGCTCACCAGAAGGCATTCCCATGACTCGTATAGTGGTTTCTGTTAAACCGTAAGCTTGCTGAACAGATTTAATTTTTAACCTACAATTATTTTTTTTATTTAAAAATATATTCAAAATTTTTAAAACATACCTAACGCTAAGCAACTCTTCTATATTTTTGCTTAAAGGTGCCGCTCCACTTGTCGCTTCTATAACGGATGATAAGTCGTATTTATCAACCAATAGACTTTTAGATAAAAAAATAGCTAACGGTGGAACTAGCGAAAGAGAAGTTATTTTGTATTTTTCTATAGACTTCAAGAACACTTCTTCCTCGAATTTTCTCATAACAATAATTTGTATTCGTTTCTGCAGACTATTTAGGCTTCTCACCATTCCATATGAGTGAAAAAAAGGAAGAACACCCAAAGTGCAACGACCACTGTCTTGGTTGAAGAATCGAGGGTCACTGCGATGACAAAACGAGCATCAAAGTTGTACATAACTATATGATTATCAACTTACTCTGTATGTACAAAGGTAGTCAAAATATTTTCGTGGGTTAACATAACACCTTTAGGTAAACCAGTAGTTCCAGAAGAACACATTATTAGTGCCACTTGTTCTCTGGGGTTCACGTCGGCAACTAAACTCGATGACAAAATACAACCTTTTTGTACACAATTTATAAAATTGTTCATACATTCTACTCCTTTGATACTGGTATTACTATTTATTACTATTATTCGCTGTATATAGTCTACCTTCTTTTTAAGCTCTAGATATTTGTCAAGAACTTCCTTGGAACAAAAAACTAACGATGGTTGCGAAATATTTAAAGCATGTATCATTTCCAGCTGGGTGTAATTATGGTTGATGGGCGCAATAACTGCACCTACATATAAAGCTGCTACAACTGGTATAAAAAATTCATTACAATTTTCACTACAAATAGACACTATGGAATTTTGTCCACATCCTAATTTGCGTAAACTTATAGCCAAAGAACATGTCTTTGTGAAGAAATCTTTGTAGGTAATAAATTTTCCAGTAATAGCGTCAATCTACAAAAACAGAAACTGGAATGATTACATTACTTTATCAAGTTACTTACAAATGCTGCTTCATTTTCGAATTCTGTTGAAAGCTTTTCGTAAATTATTTTTCCGAGAGAACTACTGGGTATTTCTTTTAATGGTGGAGGACCCTTTATGACATAAGTATCGTCTTCGGTCATTGTTTCGTTTGTAATGATGCGAAAAACTTTATTGTCTGTCGCAAGTAGTTATTTATGTCTGTCTGTTAAGTTGATGACATTGAGAACAGATAACGTTGTAGATAAATGTATTAACCGTATATCGGACACTACAAGCTGTGGTTATTTTCAACGTTTTAATCTAAAGTGAAAGAACACGGATATTAATTTGTATTTGTAGAATATAAAAGTGTAAAGAAGACGTAAAAAATTTCCATTTGGTTTTTTTTCAAGTAAACAAAAACTTATCAGAAAATACGGATTTAGAATAACAATGGAAAGTTAAGTTATAATGCACAATATAATGTTTGTTTGCGTGTTTTTATAAAGTGATATCACCTACTTCAAGCAAATGTATTTGTTTTGCTTTTTCTTAACAGTAGTGTTGCCCTTATTTCTCTAATACTATATATTTCCACACCCTCTCCTTTTTTATTATGTTTACATTGTAGTGTTACACTCTTAATAATAAATACCTAGTTTATCTAAGTTATTAGCTATTTTACAAAACTTCAAAGAAATTCATTATGCACTTTTTGAAAAAAACTGTAAAATTTGTTGAATTTATTTTCCAAACATTTCCGTCTATCTGTAGTATGTGGCCTGTTAGAAGTGTGTTAGCCAGATAATTTCCAAAACTACGAGACTGATTGTTTTTTAATAAGTATATTTTACGAATTTCATGTACATACTGAAACGCTACCCACAATAATTTGTCTGATCATTTCCACCAAAAATTTGATGATTTATATTTATACATGTGTTTGTTAATCCACCAAGCCCTTATTTTTGACTTTATGCATGTAGATTTTTGGATAAAAAGGATTAAAATGAAGCAGTAAAATTTTAACTAAAAAGATAATAAACTAATTACTTTGAAATTTTGTAAACGCCATATAGACTTCTTCTGTTCATCCCTTTCAAAATCTTGATGACGTCACCTCAAAATTTGGTTTAGTAAATCTCGCTAAAATAATATTATTATTGACAATTTATCATAGAATCTAAGGAATCAGTTTTTCCAGAAATGAATAAAAGAACTTGCTTTTAGTATATTTCATAACTCCAACAGTTAGGAAAAAACCATGGAAATGTTTAAATTTTTTCTCCAAGGGGCCTTATGATCAATTCTTGAATCTAAAAAAGAATCACCACGTACTGATATTTTACTTCTGAAACTCACTTCAACGTGTTCTGAGGTAGACAAAACATAAATAACTCCATCAGCAATATCTTCACTTTTTAGCGAAGGTATACTTTCAAATAAAGCTTTTCTTGCTGGCGGTAAGTCCTTATTCAACGTAGTCATTTCAGTTTCCACAAAACCGGGACTAATACTCTGTAAATCGAACAATTAAACACGTTTAAATAATAAGTAAACGCCTACCGTAACTTTTATCTTTAATCCAAAAGTATTTAACTCAAACCTTAAGGTTTCAGCTAGAGCGGTTACAGAGTGCTTGGAAGCCGGGTAAATATTCAGACCAAGTGCATTCGGAACCTGGTGCCCCAACACACTATTAACGTGAATAATATGACCGTTTATCTTATTTTCTTTCATGATTTTTACAGCTTCTCGCGTGGCGGTGCATAAACCCAAAACGTTCACATCAAAAACTGATTTCCAGTCTTCAGTTTTGCCTTTTGTAAACGTGCCAACTGCAACTTTTCCAGCACTATTAATAAGAATGTGAACAGGTCCAAGATTTTCATTGCTCCATTTGAATATTTTTAAAACGTCTTCTTCCTTGGTGATGTCAGCTTTGAAAGCATATAGTTTTCCAGATTTTCTGGATAAATTTTTGGCTCTTTCTGCGATTATTTCTACACGGCGAGCTACCGCCACTACCTGAAAATGGAACGATTTTTTTTATTGGAAGTACATACCATAACGTTTACCATTAAGCCGTGTTGCACAAGAGCATCGGCAATAGCAGCTCCAATTCCTGAACTAGCACCAATTACTATTGCAGTCTTCCCTTTCCACCTGTCCATGGAAATACCCATTATTCTAAATTTATAACTTGCACTACTGCACTCAGAAAAGTGTTAGTTTTAAAAAATTTATATGTAAATACATAACGTGGAAGCGGGGAGCACGTAATATGCATTTTGTGATGATAAGCAGCATTTATATAATGAAATATCAAGTTTTTAAATTGCTTTAAATTTTATTATTAGTTACATTACAATTGTTGTACTTATTGCGTTACAAAATATTAAATTAATTTGACCCTGTAAATTCATCGATCACTATTACGTACTCCACTTGCTTGTTTTTGCTATTTTACCTTTTCTAGCACTTTTAATCATATACTGAAAACAAAAAAAAATAGCAGCGGATCCTAAAAACTGACGAAAAAGAAAATTCTAAACCAAGTTTGTATGTCCATACAGTTCGTAACTTAAAGTACAGGGCTTTCATAGATGATTTTACCTACATTCCATCCAAGTGAACAGTTCCGCTTATTTCTGAGCGTGTTATTTATTATCGTCGAAAGTCAGAGAGTCAGAGTGTGAAAAATAAAAAGGCATAAGTTTGCTGAGAATCAATATCAAAACCTGAAAATCGAAAATAATAACCTTTTGATATTATATACCTGGAATCTATAGTGAGGTACAAAATATACATTCTAAATACATTCAAGAAAAATCGCTCATAAAATATTCTCATTTATTTATGAGGTATCAAAGAACATTTTTGAAATCAATTTAATCCTGGGACGACTATCACACAAAAAAAAAACAGGAACTGTATAATAAGTATAATAATCTTCACGGTGCTGAACATCGTTCTAAGTATATTTCAAATCGATTCACATAAAACATAGAGCAAAACGTACAACAAATAAACATTAAAAAGTCCACCCTATTTGAAATTTGTGTTTATCCTAAATGTAACGTATAGATTTCGCAAACAAACTTTTTACATTAACTTCTCACCTACACATTTAATACAAATCACAGTTTAGCCTTATAGAATTTATTCAAAAGATCATGTAACTTTCTTCTGAGGATCTTCCCGCTTGGATTTTTGGGTATTTCAGAAATGAATATGACACCACCACGAAGTCTTTTATGTGAAGATACTCTTTCTACAAAGATTCATTTTTATATAAAACTATAACACTACCATGCTTACTCACCCGCCAAAAATTTTTCAACCTCTTCTTCACTTATCTCATTTTTCGCATGAGGAACAATAAATGCTAACGGCAATTCGCCAGCTGCTTCATCTGGAACTCCAATAACAGCAGCATCTTTGATCTTTGGATTAGTTAGCAAAATTGCTTCTAATTCTGCTGGAGGTACCTACATACTTCATTTGATATTTGTAAACATACTTGGAACTGTATAATACCTGAAATCCCTTGTACTTTATTAATTCCTTTAATCTCCCAACAATAAAGAAAAATTCGTCCTTATCATAGTACCCTAAGTCTCCAGTCAACAGCCATCCATCTGACGTAAAAGCGTTTTTAGTAGCTTCTGCATTGCCATAATAACCTTTCATAACGATAGGCCCTTTTATACAGATTTCACCAACTTGATTCGGTCCAAGAGATTTTCCTGTTTCTGGATCTCGAATTTTGCACAAGAGATACGGGAAAACTCTACCTGAAGATCCATGTCTTTCTTCATCTAGGGGAAAACCCGTTACTGCCAATGTAGCTTCTGTTAAACCATAACCTTGCCGAAATGAATTCACCTTCAACCTAAATTTTTCAATAAGAGAAAATTGCTAGTATTATATCTACCTTTTCTTTAACAATTCTTCCGTACTTTTACTCAGAGGAGCTGCACCGGAGCCTACGTGTTGAATACTGGACAAATCGTAAGCATCCACTAACGGGCTTTTGGCTAAAAGTACCGCTAAAGGTGGTACCAAAGGCAAACCCGTTATTTTATATTTTTCAATAGTACTCAGGAAGAGTCTTTCTTCAAATCTTTTGATGACAAGAACTTTTGTGGATTTAACTATAGCACCTAATCCGACGAATAAACCATAGGCATGGAAGAACGGTAAAAGTCCCATCGTACTCCGGCCTTCTTCTTGCGGATATAACCGTGGATCACTAAAATTAGCTCACTGATAATTCTACATAAATAATGTTGGAACATCTTACTCACTCTGAATGCGCAAATTTGGTGAGCACATTCCTTTGCGTTATCATAACACCCTTTGGCAGTCCCGTAGTTCCTGAAGAATATAAAATAAAAGCTATCTGATTCTCTAGGTTTACATCAGCTACATCAAATCTGTACAAAGGTTCATTTCCGTGTAAATTTTCACGAATAAATGCCTCTATAGATCTTAAATCACGAGTTCCATCTTCACTGTCTATGATCAATATTCTCTCAATAAAGTTCAAACGTTTTTTCAAATCAACGAATTTTGGGTATATTTGCTTTGAACAAAAGATTATTTGTGGTTTAGCTATATTCAAGGCATGTTGCATTTCTGACTGAGTGTAACTGTGATTAACTGGCGCAACAGTAGCTCCTATGTAGAACGCTGCTATAATGGGTGTAAAAAATTCAATACAGTTTTCGCTTGATACTGTGATCATAGTGTTTGGGCCATAACCGGATCTTCTTAAACTCTCCGCCAAAGAACATGTTTTCGTCAAAAGTTCTTTGTAGGAAATAGATTGCCCAGTTAGTGCATCAATCTAAAAATATGAGAACAAAAATTTAAAAACAGGCAAAAGATATATGCCATCTGCGTCAGTGGGTCGCTGTATGTTGTAAATTGAGCTAATTAGTGTGAGACGTATTACAATACCAGTTATAATATTTTAAAAATTGGAAAAACATAAATGTTTTCTTGTTATTAAACAATGTTGATTCTTGTAAAAATTTTAAAAGAAAATGTTACTAATATTGCAATTACATTGGTGTATGAGCATAACAAATGTCCAACGAAGTGTAAATAATTCATGCCATATCGTAGTAAACAGTATACGGATTGTCTTATCAGTTTATGACAAAACAGTGCGTTTAGGTGCAATTTTATTCACATAGTAACTTACCAAGGCTTCAGTTTCAACACAATTGGCTATTAATTTATCATAAATTAATCTTCCAATCGGTACGTCGGGAATGGCACTTACAGATGCCATTCCTTTAACAATATGTGTGTTATCCTCGATCATGGTTTGTCTTGAACTGCACGGTATCTACTGTTGGAATGGAGGTCACTCGGGTATTACTTAATTTTACATAGGTGGCTGACCTTAAAAAATAAGAGGGGAATGATGTTATTATTAATTCATACACAAATGTTTGTTACTGATATAAAGAATAACAAAGATAAGATTGTCGACAGTGACTATCAAAAAAGTTAAAATGAACATGTGAATTCTGATAAGAATTCACAAGTCACCTTATATCTTGAACTTGCAATATTTTTTTGAAGGAACTCTTTCGTTTTTTTTTTTACACTGAAGAGTACAAAAACTTTTATTTCCCTATCATTTCCTAAAAGAAGTGCTGCGAAAAAAATTCAAATAAATCTTGTGTTTGTTTGACGCCAAACTAAATTTAAAATATTTTTTAAAACAAAGTATTGTAAGGAAATTATAAAAATAACATCCATGACTTGAAGTATTTTAATTTTCCATTTGCAATAAAATTTTATTCTATAAATTTTATACTAACGCCTAGATGTATATTAAAAAAAAATGTACTGTGTTTAAGAATCTTGAGTAAATTAAAAGCACCATTCTTAATTTAATCAAAATGTTTTTCATAATCTTTTAAAACATCCTTTAGAAACGATTCTAAAAAAATAATTATAAAAAGCAAAGCCCAAAATCAAAATCTCGCACATTTTTTAATAAACACCTCGTACTTATACCACTACAAATAAATTCTTAAGTAAAAACTACACACTCTAAATGATAAGATTGATAAGTAAAATTAATTCGACACAGTTGCTGTCATATTGTGTCCATAATGTTTATTTGCTATGGCCAAACATGGGCACTAAAAAAATATTTATTTGGGGCCACTATTCTCTAAACACCAGTGACTATTATGGTTTGTAATTTTTTGGTCAAGTTGGCAACCTATTTAAAATTTTATAATGGCATACCTGATTGCGAAGGTGACATTTATGATAACTGTCATTGTCTCAATCAGTCAACACGTTTGTTAGGCGTGTTCATGTCTGACGTACTACCATAGATGCCAATAATTCAGAATTGCCAACACCAAAATTTGCTTCATTCACTAATAGTTACCTTAGTTGTTTCCTAATAGTCTAAGCTGTTTCAGGCTAGACCGTAGAAAATACACTAATAATTTCATTAGTGTATATGCAAAGGAAAGTCCCTATTGACAGTCACTTTTGATTCTTACTGACACTCTGTTATGTCACGAAGTAGAAAATTATTTAATTTTTAATAAATAATACATTTACGCGGCCCAAAAATTGTGTGTATCACTCTGCCAGAAACTGCTTGTGCAAATGAGCTTTCCCGGACTGTCAAGAATGGACGGAAGCATGGAAATAACTATTGTGTGCAGGCCCATTTCCTTAGAAATCGATAGCTAATTTGTAACTAGGAAGAGGTAATAAATAAAATATTGCCTTCATTTTAACAACGCATGTTCATAGAAATTCAAGTATTTAAAAAAAGGAAAAAAAAGAGTAAATTAACTCAAATATAGGAAAGAAATTTCCGGAAACCCGAGTGAAAATGTCAAAGAATGAAATTACCAATTTTATATCAACAATACGCGATTATTTGTTAATTCTGGAAAATTTTATACAAAACAGGTGGATTAACTGGAAAAATCCAGGAACCATTTTAAGATCCGCGACGCAATAGCGGCTAAAAATATTAACCACTATCTCGTATATTCTTCAGTTCTTGGTGGATAAGCGTTCTTCATTTCGATGACAGTAATGGGGATCGGGTTACTCACACATTAGTTGACTATCGTTTTCGAAAGAGCCAGATAATACATGGATGACGATTTAATTTTAGAAACTCAACTTACGAAAAACCATGAACTTTTTCTAAATCCTTCTTCACAATTTCCGACAACAGAACAGAGACCTGGAGAAGGCTCAACACGGGCACTTTTCTTGGGGTATCGACCGTCGTCAGTACTTCGGTTCTTCGTGGCTCACCGGGGTTGACTTCCTTTTTGCCCTCGATTTTCCAACTTTTGTGCTATTTTTTTCTCATTTATTATGTCTTTTGGTGGCATCTTTATGAGTATACGGTTGGCATTATAGTACTTGTGTTAGAGTCATTTGATTAGGTACAGGCGTAATCCTTGCGGCCCTTATTTAGTGCTTTTGTAAGTCTTAGTTTCGTTATGAAAAGTTCGTCATTTGATAAGTCGCAAAATTTATTGCTGTCAGTACGTAAAATTTTATTTGTTCATGTCTGCCTTACCTTGCGTTGTTGTATGAAACTCGTGTGCCTTATTTACTGGTTGTTAAGATTATTTTCGTTTGTATGCCGTATTGTTTGGTTGGTAATTTGGTGCCATTTATTTGAATTTGTGGGTTCTTTTTTGTCTTGTTATCGTTCTAATGTCATGTGTTTTCGCCATCATGGAACTTTTTGCTTGGGTGTGGTATTTAAATGCGACTAACTGACTGGGTGATTCTTAATGATATACAAATGTTATCTGATGGATATATCAGATTCAGAAAATATTAATAATCACATTTTTTAATTACGTGTGACTGTACAATCACAAACACAAATATTCACACTTGTGTGAATAAGTGCTAACTTGTTTAATTAATCATTATTAATTCTGATATATCCATACACTTATTTTTAAGTTACCACTTTGGCAAGCTGAGAAACCTATTTGAGAATGCGCTTGAAGTTTTTGTCAGGATAAACCTGCGAAAATCCATATAAAGTCTGTTCGGTAACTTTTGGCACAAACTTCAAGATCAAAATAAACGAAATCATTTCAAAACTAATGATATATTTATTAAACAACATATTTACTTAAATTTTAATCTTCAAATGGTTCATAAACTCCAATCCTGCCAACTTGACGCAATTTTTGTTGTATATTGACACCACTTCTTTCTGCGGCTTTTTTTTCTGTTATGTGTTTAAAGGAAGTAAGACTTTTGGCCGGTGTTTTTCTTTTGGCATATTCTCGTTTCATTAAAGCCCAATATTTCTTAATGGTGTATTCGGATCATTATTTTATTTTGCAACACAAAACTAATACTATTGGCATTAAGAAATTCTGTACATTGTAAGATATAATGTTGCCCTATCTGGAAAACAGAACATTCCTATTTTGAATTCATGGTGCCTATGAAAATAGACGATTCTGAAACTCCCCCATAATTATCCATAGCTTACGATATCAAATATTTAAGAAAAATCTTCTTAGCTTTGAATTTTTTCTTAGGTGCCACCACCTGGTTTGGAGCACAGTGACAGCAGATACTTTTTACCAAGCACACAATAGGTTCCATCATCCATGATAATTATAATGATCGGCGGGAGCCGATTTTTCAACAATTTTTCTGCAAGCTGTTTTAGCCCTCGATTGTTGATCAATTGATCATGCGATAAAATCCTTACCAAAATATATGTTTGCATGATTTTTTTATCTATGGAACTACGCCGTATTTAATTCTCGTAAAATGCTACCAATCCAAAAACTATGAACCAAATCGTTACTGAAAAAGTCAAATATGCTTGCTGTATGACAAAATAACCCAACATTTTTTTTACATTATTTACATATGTCAGTTTGTTGCTAGAATGTGTGCTTTAACATAACACGATATGTTTCTAACTATATACATTAATTGAACAATATTGACGGACAACGTCAAGATTACTGAACAACTAATAATAATTGGTTAATATGTGTTCTCTCAAAAAATCGTGTTTGTCATCTATTTGTTTTAGTTCGTATGAAACAAGTAGAAAGTGCATACAAAATAACACCCATAAGTTAAATTAAAGAATACAAAACTTGCTTTCTAAACCGGTGGTTTGTATTGTTTTCAGAATGTACAGTTTATAATATATATAAATGCAACAGATTTAATATCTACAATTTTGACTTGTAAGTAGTTAACATTTTGCGAAGTTCTCGGCGAAGAATTTTTCCACTGGGATTTTTGGGAATTGATGGCACAAAAACAACACCACCGCGCAGCGTCTTCTGCGAGGAAACTTTTCCTAAAAAGAAATTAGTTAAAACTTTACTTAAGTATAGTCCAGATTTTGAAGATATTGTCCACAAAAACTAAATGTATATAAAAATCAATTCATTTCTTTTTTCTTTTTTTAATACCCCGAGTGTCTGGAAAATGGAGTATTAACTCATCGCTAGGCTCTTAACAATTAATTGATGAGTCTGGAAAAAATAGTAAAAAAAATCCTTCTCACATTTTGGTGAAGTTATAATCATTTTTAAATTGGTCCTTTTTTATTACTAAAATTAATCTTATCTTAGCAGGTATTAGCCCCAGCCGCCCGCCCTCTCTTTCCTTAGAGTGTATGTCATTTTCCAAAATCGGTCTTATTTTAGCAGGTACGAGCTCCGCCCACCCGCCCTCTCTTGTCTTAGAGGGTATGTCATTTGCCAAAATCAGTTGTATCTTAGCAAGTACTGATAACTAACTTTTACAAAAAATGATCAAAATTTTTTTTTCAAAATTTTGAACATCTTCTCTAGTTGCTTTAATGTATTTTTCTTTTGTTGGTTTTGTTTGTGTTTATAATTTATAAATGTTTTATTTTTTTTTTGGTTATTTATTAATGAAAAATAACAGCTTGTTTTATTAATAATAATACACAACGATTAATGACTATTATTGTAGTTATATTGACTGTCCTAAAAAAATAAAAGGTGGATTTCAGTCACCATCGTTACTAAGAAATTAGAAAGTATTCACGTATTAGGTGCGTGCAGTGTTGCCAATTTTACTTTTAGAAAATCACGTTTTTTTCATATTCTACGTCATAAAGACTTTGTTTATCATTTTTTTGAGACTCCCGAAACCCGCGTACATAACGTACTGAAGAGTTAATCCGCCATTTTCCAGACACCCGGTATATACGAGAATTACTTAGCAATGAAATTAACAAGCAGTCCCTTATGACTTAACATATACATATACATAAAGCGTTTCATCTAATTTGGTCGCTGGCATTACTTTAAATTGCCCTCCAATTCTGCAAACCAGTGTTTTTGGAAATTTCTTATGTAACCTGATCTAAATTTGAAGATTCATTTTCTTTATAAAGTAACAACATTTACAAAATAAAGAATAGGAGAAATCTCTCTAAAAAACGAAAGGTTTTTCCTTTGTCAGTAAATCCGGAAGTACAAACAACTCTAAATTGTTCTTAAATAGATTTCATGTCGTAAATGCAGATAGTTGTTTTGGGGTTGATTAAACATCAAAAATTATCAGCCTATTTGTTACTTCCTTCAAGACTTAATTATCAAATATGTCTTTGTATATTTGAAAATTAATTGAATTATTCGCTTTATTTAATAAGAATATTATTTAAGTACCAGCGACAAAATCGATAATTTCCTTTTCTGTCAAATTCACATTTTCTTTTTTCACGACGTATGCAAGTGGTAGTTCTCCTGCTTCTTCATTAGGAAGACCCACTACACCTACATCTAGCACTTTTGGATGGTTCAATATAATAGACTCCAGTTCAGCAGGTGGAACCTATAATTTGATAACAAAATATATTCAAAAACTCCTAAAATTATCAAATATCACCTGAAAACCTTTATATTTGATCAATTCCTTCAACCTATCGACAATGTAGAAGTAACCTTCTTTATCATAGTAACCCAAATCTCCGGTTAAAAGCCACCCATCAGATGTAAAAGAATTTCTAGTAGCTTCCTGATTTCTATAATATCCTGGCGTCACCATCGGACCTTTGAAGCACAATTCACCAACTTTTCCAGGACCCAGCGATTTTCCAGTTTCTGGATCTCTAACTTTACACGACATATATGAAACCACCTTACCAGAAGAACCGGGTTTTTCGTCATTTAAGGACATCATAATTACTGCTAAGGTACTTTCCGTTAAACCATATCCTTGTCGGATTGTCCGAATATTCAATCTGTAAAGATATTTTAACATTGATTTTAAATGATTGGGACTGCAACCTTCTTTTAACAGCTTCTTCAGTATCCTTGCTTAAAGGAGCAGCTCCACTTAGTATTTCTTTAACAGACGATAAATCATATTTAGCTACCAACGGACTTTTGGCAAGTAGAATTACTAAAGGTGGTGCTAACCAAAGATTTGACAATCTAAAATCTTGGATGATTTTCAGAAATAGTTCTTCCTGAAACCTCTTAAGCACTACAATTTTCTGGCCCATCACTAATGCAAAGAAGTTTGTAATTAGCCCATACGCATGAAAGAATGGAAGTATTCCTAGGAAATTATCTTCCTGCCGTAGATACCGAGGATCTCTGAAAACATTAATTCAAATTTTGGCACAATACGCAGTGTATAATTTTACATGGAATGCATATATCGAACCATCATATTACTGTGTGTTTGCATTACACCCTTTGGAAGCCCAGTCGTACCAGAAGAACACATAATGAGTGCAATCTGTTTGCTATTATCAAATTCGGCCAACTGAAACCTCCCCAAAGGTACATATCCTCTTAAAGTTGTTCTTACAAACTCTTCCATTGTTTCGGCTCCACATACTACTTCGTCACTATCAATTACGATAATTTTTTCTATAAAATCCAATTTGGTATTTTTCAGGTTTACAAATTTGTCAGTAACTGCTTTTGAACAGAAAACTATTTTAGGTTTACAAATAGTGAGAGAATGTATTGTTTCATAATCTGTGTAGTTATGATTTACAGGAGCTACTGTGGCACCGATAAACAAAGAAGCAATCACAGGTATAAAAAATTGTATGTTGTTTTCACTACTAACAGAAACTACTGTGTTAATTCCATAACCGCTTCTTCTTAAACTTTCAGCTAAAGAACATGTTAATTCTAGTAGTTTAGGAAAAGAAATGGATTCCCTAGTAATAGCATCTACCTGAAAGAGAACACATTGTATTTTTTATAAAAAATTACATATAACTAAAGTTTTTCATTTTTTTATATATTTTTTAATATAATATGCTTATTAATATATGTATTATGAACATTGAACACTGATTTGTATTTCAAGGCAACGGCAGTTAGAACAACTATATTGCCTTACAAATTGATCTACTGTTGCTAAGCGAGCGAAGCGAGAGTGATTTATGCAAGAAATGTTAAGCGAATTTGCGCTTCAAAATCTATTAACTAGTTTATTGTTCACTAAAATTAATTTAAATCTTAAATCTATAATTAATTAATTATTTTTAATTTATTTTTTCATCCAAACCATACTGCTTATGCATTATTACAGTACTAAATCAATTAAGACAAAATTTGGAAAGCATTGTCAAATAAAGTCAGTGAGTGAAGTACTACGTGTTTCTGAAGAAGTGCGCGCTTTCGCTGCACTGACAACAGAGGAAATAATTCCAAGCAAAAAAATAGATACGAAAAGGAGTACCAGATTTTTAATAAATGAAGAACCGAAAATGGGGACATTGTTTTCTAATATTTTGGAAAAACCTGGTTTCTAGTAACGCTACAAGTCGATAATTACTGGGTTTATTATATCAACATTTTTATGAACAGGAATAATAACACCTGTTTTTCAACACTAAGGGAAGATAGAATTTCTATTACATAAGTTAATTAACTTATTAGTTAATGGCAATATAAGTATAAGTCGAAATATGTCAAGTGAATGACTAGATGTTAAGCCATCTATGACATCCCTAGCAAGGATATTTAAGAAAAAGTAAAATGTGCCGACACTGTATATTCACTTACGATGCTATTATCAGTTAGCAGGTTATCACAGTCACACATTAATAGGTTATCAGCACAGTTATCAGGCACATTTTGTACTAAATTAAAAATTACATAATACTATAGTATTTTAGTAAAAATGTATATTAACATCATCATAGGAGATTCACTTGCTATTTATTTTTTGTTTATAGCCGGAGAATTTATTGCTGCTATTAATAAATAATTCTTCAGATGTCTATTTTTTATTATTTACCGTATCAATACTATAATTTAAGCTCAATTTGTTAACGGCATAACTTCCTATAACGGTTTCTTGCCATACTTGTTTCATCAGAATCTATAATTTTATCTAAATCATCTAGAGAATGAAGAGTAGCTCTCATAGCTTTTAAATCAGTATCAAATACTTGGATTTATTTTTTAATTTTATAGATTTTTCATGAAAAGCAAGAGTCATATATACATCATAATATTTATAAATTTACTACATTTTTAGTGTTAGTATCAGTCTCCTGATTCGCAATAAATTTATACAATCACAATTTTACAATAAAACTTGCATGTGTATTTCTCCAAAATCTTAAAAACTAATCTTCTCCAAGGATTTTGCAACAAATTAACCGTTTAGACGTTAAAACTCTAAAATTTATCTGGTCATTCCCAACAACAATATGATGACGTCATCCTAAAATTCTGCTAACCGAATCTTATTTAAATTTACCACAAAAGCGAATACTCTTAAATCTTGAAACGCGCTGTGTTTATCGTAAACATGGTAAATGACCACTAAATTGTCTGCACTTGTGGCCTGTCAATGCACTAATTTTTTTTAATTTATATATGTATATATATACCTATTCAAGCTAATATATTTCTACCTACTACAAAGTTGAAGTACTCTTCACAAAATTTTATTAAGAAAGCTGTCTTCAGAGATAAGGAGTATAACATTTATAATTCATTCCAATTTTATTTTAACTTATGAGCAGAATTAAATTTTATAATTTGTATAATTGTCCTTAAGGAGCGAGGGCCGTTCTGTCTAAATAACTTTACTCCAAATTTTTAAAGTTCTACTTTTAATTCAATCAAACATAAATTGTTGTTTATAAGCAAAACCTAACTCTCTAATAAAACGTTCCTAATCTCATATTTCGTAAATTAGTTACTGCTCTTATCTTATTTGTGTTCAAGTATTTAGACTAAAACATGAAGAAAGTGTCACTGTCCAATGTACAAAAATGATTTTACAAGGACGTATAGTAAAATTCAGAATTAAAATTAAAAAAAATTTTCTTATATTTTACTTACTAACGCCTCATGTTTGTTCGGGTTGGCCAAAAGGCTATCATACATCAGTCTTCCTAAAGAAATATCAAGAAGAGGGTGAAGTGGTGGAGGTCCATGAATGACATAAGTGTCGTCTTCTTTAATCATTATGCAAAACGCACGTGTATACACTCCGTATTATGACAATATTCACTGGAAGTCCGAACGTATCAAAGTTTTATCACCGACAGGTCAACTTACTAACTAGAGCAGTAGGGGAACGCGAAGACCTTTGGCAAATGAATGTTTTTGTAAAAATTAAATCAAATATCAATGAACAGTAATTGTGTGTTTCAATAATGAGTTCAAGACGTCTGAAAACGCAAACTGAGTGGAAGTGTATTCACTTTAACTTAAAACAATTGAGTTACCTATAATGGTGAAGCTGTCGTAGAAGGTATAATAACAAGAAAATTAAAATTCTTTACACAAAAAAAATTGTAAGACCGTATAACTTTTCCTACATATCACATCAGAAGTGATTGAGCAATGCGAAAAGTATGACAAATGAACGAAATGCGTTATTATGCTTTTTACTCACTTTTTATGGATAACTGTAATTTTAAATAATAATAGCAACATTACAAGACGATTTTCTCACATACCACTTACACAAAAATAAAATAAATTATGATAAATATCTTGAAAATTATTTATGACAATTTGATTACAGTTTTGGAAATTTCATTCTACCCTATAAAATTTTATTGGCGATAACGAGACGGACAATGGTAAGAAATATTTATGGCTCACACCAGTTCACTCCAATGTGTCTGAGAACATTTAGCAGGTAGTTGTACTCATAGAATAATGGTCATTTTCTTTCATGAGCAACGATGGTCCCTGTCCGGACGTGGATTACTCTGCTTTCTAACATATGGGGATTACCGGCACGCGACAACTTAAGTTGTAAATATCTCTTGCTGTTGTACAACTGTCCATCTCGTTATTGCCAATAAAATTTTATACCATAGAATAAAATTTCCAAAACTATACTATAACTAACATTAAACATTTGCGAATGCCATTCTATAAGATTCTGCAAATAGTTTAGGTTAGGCGCAAACTGAAAACTTTTTGGTAATTTCTGAAAATACACAAATGTTGTATGTTTTGTATAATATTCGAAGGACCATCTGCCACGAGCTATGAGGCTCAGCAGAAAAGAAAAAGGCGTAGATGCCACTAACACTCTTTATTGAACCTCGTGTTACAATGTCTTAAAATGCTATGAAATTTGTTCGGACCCTGTCCCTTGCGAGGGCCCGTCCCTGTCGTTCGAAGGTGGGGGTAGGTACCCGGTTTCCGTCTCAACATCCCGGCCCCCTTGAAGCGTAGGTTTCAAAAGTGTAAAGTTTTAAAATATTACAATAAATGTCGATTAATGTAACAAATACAATAAGTTCCAAATGGAATACACAATCCAGTAAACAATAAAAAAAATGTAACAGTGAATACAAATAATTGTTCGTGCAGAATTGTTGATCACTTTCACTGCTAACGCAAAATGGCCATAAATCACTCCCGAGCACATGGTAGCACACACAATGTTCGCACCGCACGTTTGACGATCTTGTGGTCCACCCTGAGGGAGACCACCCTGGTGACGCCGTCCTTCCCTGGATGTAGCTCGGTGACGCGGCCCCGCTTCCACGTGAGTGGGGCTGTGGTGTCCATTAGCAGGACCAGACTTCCCGGCATCAGCCTGGCAGATCCTTGTTGGCTCCATTTGGTCCGATTCTGCAAGGTACTCAAATATTCCTTCGACCAGCGCCTCCAAAAGTGTTGCCGCATCTGCTCCACGAGTTGCCAGCGAGTGAGCCGATTGGTCTTGACGTCAATGAGGTCTGGCTCCGGAATCGAGGTTAGGGGTGACCTAATCAAAAAATGGCCCGGTGTGAGTACGTCCAAGTCGTTAGGAGCCGCCGAAAGCGGGCACAAGGGGCGCGAATTCAGGCACGCCTCTATACACGCCAAGACAGTAGGCATTTCCTCAAAAGTCAAAACCGAGGGACCAACTATTCGCTTTAAATGATATTTAGCAGATTTAATTCCTGCTTCCCAAATGCCTCCAAAGTGAGGCGCCTGGCCAGGAATGAAGTGCCATTTAATATTTTTGGTTTCTAAAAATGTTTCTATGTCGTTACTAACTCTACGCTGCTTGAACATGATTTGGAGTTCATTGTGAGCCCCGACAAAATTAGTAGCATTATCTGAATAAATATTAGATGCTACGCCCCTACGAGACACAAATCGCTTTAATGCCGCCAGAAAATTTGCTGTAGTTAGCTCTGAAACTAATTCTAAATGAACAGCCTTAGTCGACATACAAACAAAGAGCGCGATATAAGCCTTGAGAGTTTTTTTGTTGCGTGTTTTACCATCTTTTATGATAAGAGGTACCGCATAATCAAGGCCGCTATTTAAAAACGGCCTGGCTGGAGTAATACGCACCGATGGTAGGTCACCCATTATTGGAGTTACCTGTTCCGCCTTGAATCTAGCGCAAATGGTACAATTGTGTATTACCTGACGGACCAGGTCTTTACCTGCGAGTGGCCAAAATCTTTGTCTTACTGCCGATAAGGTGGCTGTTGGTCCCGAATGTAGTTGTATCAAGTGTTCTTCCTTTATAATTAACCGCGTTATATGATGTTTTGGAAGCACAATCGGAAATTTTTGATCAAATTGAATGTTCGAATTACGCAGCCTGCCACCTACCCTGATTAATCCCGATTTATCCAGAAATGGATTTAATGTTTTTAATTTGCTATTAGAACGCACTTGTCCTTTAGTACCTAGATTAATTAGTTCTTGTGGAAACTCTATACCTTGTACAAGATGCAAAATGACTTGAAATGCTTGCGTCAATTCTAACAGCGACAACGAACCTGTCCGTCTGTCATGCTTATTTCTACAATTATGAATAAATCTTAAACACATGGCCATTACTCTTTTTAATTTTGAGATGGAGGAATATCGTGTTAAAATTGGAACTTCAAAATTGTTTCCGGATATGAGTGCAACGCCCTTTAATTCAGGTACTTCGGTAGGTTGTAGGTGCGGTTTTGGCCAATTTTCTGACGATTCCCTTAACCAATACGGTCCGTGAAACCATAAATCACACTTGAGAAGCTCACTGGGATAAGCTCCTCGCGATATTATGTCGGCTGGGTTATCCTTTGTGTTTACATGTTGCCATGTACCCACAGTGGATAAATTTTGGATTTCGCTTACTCGATTAGCGACAAAGGTATTCAGCGTCGATGGCGAGGTTGCTAACCATGCCAGTACTATAGTAGAATCTGTCCAGTAAAAAACAGAATTGATTGACAGTCTTAAATTTTTAATCACGGTATTCGTCAGCCTCGATAGTAATAATGCTGCACATAATTCGAGCCGCGCGATGGTTATTGTGCGTAATGGTGCAACCCTTGATTTGCTGCATAACACAAGTTACACGAAATCGTACCGTCCGCGGCGATGGTACGTACCATTGATTAAATACATATAGATAGACCCATGCTATTGTTTGGAGCGAACAGGCCAACGGCCGGCGAACAAGAGATGGCGCACCAACGGTCGGCCGTCAAACGCCGGCGAAAAGCTTGGACACCAATCACGCGCATAGGTAACACAAATCACACTAATAATATATTTAATAAATCTACCACTCGATAGAGGGCGACGAAAAAATGTGTAAAAATCTCATAGTTAGTATTTAAATAATTTGCAACGTTGCCAGATGAGCCTAACACAAATTTGCCGTTATTTCTAGCCAAGTAGGATTTATTTCGTTTAAAAGTTTCTGATAAAGAAATGGGATTATTATATATATACATATGTTCATAAAGTGGGCTTTTCCGCACGTTTTTGGAGTAAATTTCAGTCAGTTTGGCATATTTTGTGCACTTTCGCACTGGTGCCAAACTACCACCGCACCCGGTCGGCAGTTCGGCACGTGATTTGGCAACATGGTAAAGGATCGACAAACATGCAACAGAAAATCATTAATTGAAAGCAGAATTTCTTCTTTCCACAGGTAGATGGCAATATGAGAATATTTATCATAAGCAAAATCGGAAAATAGTGAATAATGCCAAAGTTCGGCGACCAATTCAAGCAGTAATTCAAATTTTTAACAAACAATTCTAGTACTGGGAACCAAAGGCATTATTAACTGTTTAAATTTTCGTATTTTGGTGACTGACAGCTATTTTCTTGTGTGCCAAACTGCCTGGTGCGTGTGTACGGTACGCAATTAACAGGCAGTTTCGCATGATTTTTATTTTTTCCTAAAATATTTAATCATTAAAAAAAAATATTTTTAACAACAAAAGACTTTATATTACGCGTAAGAATATTCGGAGCAAGGTAAGTGTAAGTATTATACGTACAGTATATATATTTTTTTCATTAAAAAAAAAACATCACATTATAAATTGTGTTTGGGCATGTTAAGTGGTTGCTGATGTTCCAACAGACCAACTCAGTCGGAAATTGACATCTAGAGATTTTTTATGGTGTAATGGTCCAATTTAAGCGAAAATTTAAAATTTCAGCAAAAATGATATACTTAGAAATTAAACACGTCATTAATTGTCATAATTTTCTCATTTCGCTGACTGTGACATTTTGATAAATTTTAACGTGTGTGCCAAACTGTTGCTGCTTGCGTACAGTACGCATTATACAGTACTTACTTAATTTTTTCGAAAACAAGCAACTTCTGCAGTAAATAATGTTTCTGAACGTAATAATCGGTTTATTAATGTTTCAAAAGCCTAATACAAACTGCAATTTACATCCTAAACAAACAGGAGAAACTAGGGAAGTAAGGGTGTAATTAATTGTAATAATTTTCGCATTTTGATGACCTTGACAGGTATCTTGGGTGCCAAACTGCCTGTTGCATGCATTCGGTACTCATTTAACGGGCAGTTTCGCATGATTTTTATTTTTTCCTAAAATATTTCATCTTTAAAAAAAGGGATTTTGAACAACAAAAGACTTTATTTTACGCGTAAGAATATTTTGAGCAAGCTAAGTGTAAGTATTATGCAGTATATGTTTTGTTATTAAAAAAAAGTATATTTCTACATTATGAATTGTGTCTGGACATGTTAAGTGGGTGCTGATGTCCTAACAGACCTACTAAGTCGGAAATTCACATCATTAGCAAACAAAAGTGGTTAAGGAAGTAAAAACAAAATTAAGTTTCGCCACTTTCCCATTTAGCTTACGTTGCCATGGATTTACGTATTTATTGGACAAACTAATTAGAGGTTTTTAATGGTGTAATGGTCCAATTCAAGCGAAAACTTAAAATTTCAGCAAAAGTGATATACTTGGAAATTAAAAACGTCATTAATTGTCAAAATTTTCTCATTTTGCTGACTATGACATTTTGATAAATTTTAGCGTGTGCGTCAAACTGTTGCTGCTTGCGTACAGTACGCATAATGCAGTGCTTACTTAATTTTTTCGAAAACAAGCAACTTCTGCAGTAAAAAATGTACCTGAACGTAATAATCGGTTTATGAATGTTTCAAAATCCTAATACAAACTGCAATTTACATCTTAAACAAACAGGAGATACTAGGGAAGTAAGGGTGTAATTAATTGTAATAATTTTCGTATTTTGATGACTTTGACAGGTATCTTTGGTGCCAAACTGCCTGTTGCATGTATACGGTACGCATTTAACAGGCAGTTTCGCATTATTTTTATTTTTTCCTAAAATATTTCATCTCTAAAAAAAGGGATTTTTAACAACAAAAGACTTTATATTACGCGTAAGAATATTCTGAGCAAGCTAAGTGTAAGTATTATGCAGTATATGTTTTGTTATTAAAAAAAAAGTATATTTCTACATTATGAATTGTGTCTGGACATGTTAAGTGGGTGCTGATGTCCTAACAGACCTACTCAGTCGGAAATTCACATCATTAGCAAACAGAAGTGGTTAAGGAAGTAAAAACAAAATTAAGTTTCGCCACTTTCGTATTTAGCTTAAGTTGCCATGGATTTACGTATTTATTGGACAAACTAATTAGAGGTTTTTAATGGGGTAATGGTCCAATTCATGCGAAAACTTAAAATTTCAGCAAAAGTGATATACTTAAAAATTAAAAACGTCATTAATTGTCAAAATTTTCTCATTTTGCTGACTATGACATTTTAAAAATTTTAGCGTGGGTGTCAAACTGTTGCTGCTTGCATACAGTACGCATAATGCAGTACTTACTTAATTTTTTCGAAAACAAGCAACTTCTGCAGTAAATAATGTATCTGAACGTAATAATCGGTTTATTAATGTTTCAAAAGCCTAATACAAACTGCAATTTACATCTTAAACAAACAGGAGATACTAGGGAAGTAAGGGTGTAATCAATTGTAATAATTTTCGTATTTTGATGACCTTGACAGATATCTTGGGTGCCAAACTGCCTGTTGCATGCATTCGGTACTCATTTAACAGGCAGTTTCGCATGATTTTTATTTTTTCCTAAAATATTTCATCTCTAAAAAAGTGATTTTTTACAACAAAAGACTTTATATTACGCGTAAGAATGTTCTGAGCAAGCTAAGTGTAAGTATTATGCAGTATATGTTTTGTTATTTAAAAAAAAGTATATTTCTACATTATGAATTGTGTCTGGACATGTTAAGTGGGTGCTGATGTCCTAGCAGACCTACTCAGTCGGAAATTCACATCATTAGCAAACAGAAGTGGTTAAGGAAGTAAAAACAAAATTAAGTTTCACTACTTTCGCATTTAGTTTTAAGTTGCCATGGATTTACGTATTTATTGGACAAACTAATTAGAGGTTTTTAATGGTGTAATGGTCCAATTCAAGCGAAAACTTAAAATTTCAGCAAATGTGATATACTTAGAAATTAAAAACGTCATTAATTGTCATAATTTTCTCATTTTGCACACTATGACATTTTGATAAATTTTACGTGTGTGTCAAACTGTTGCCGCTTGCGTACACTACGCATTATGCAGTACATACTTAATTTTTTCGAAAACAAGCAACTCTTCTGCAGTAAATAATGTATCTGAACGTAATAATCGGTTTATTAATGTTTCAAAAGCCTAATACAAACTGCAATTTACATCTTAAACAAACAGGAGATACTAGGGAAGTAAGGTTGTAATTGATTGTAATAATTTTCGTATTTTGATGACCGACCTTGACAGGTATCTTTGGTGCCAAACTGCCTGTTGCATGCATACGGTACGCATTTAACAGGCAGTTTCGCATGATGTTTATTTTTTCCTAAAATATTTCATCGTTAAAAAAAGGGATTTTTAACAACAATAGTTATTTATTATACAAGCGGTTAAAGTGAATGTTTAATGAGCGGTCAGTTTAAGGCGAGAGCGGCGTATGCCGCGAGCACCTTAAGACCGCGAGTTACACATTCATTTTAAACGCGAGTGTAATACAAAATTTTATTCAATTTTGACAACCCCAAGTCCCAAATTGTGAAAAAATTGGTGATTCAAAGTTCAGACTCGAGAAACGTCAGAATTGACAGCGACCAAATAAAAGTTTTATATGCGTAGAATTTAGTGCACAATATCAGGTGTGTGTGTGTACCTAGTATGTGACTCTGGCGACGGTGTTTGTTTATTTTAAACAAACTAAAATGATCGAAAAATTACAAAATCATGCAAGATTCTAACGACAAAACTTGCTCCCAGAAAAGACCAGATCAGAAAGTGTATCAAAAGTTCCTTAGATGGAAAGAGCAGCAAGACACTGGAGAAATTACAGAAATGGTAACCATGGTTTTAAAACAGCAAAATAAAAATTTTATTTCGCTAGCGGTTTAAAAATTTTATGGTGCTACCGGATAAACCGAAGCTTTAGTGGCCTACTGACGGCAAAATAACGTTTGTTTACATGTCAAAATTGAATAAAAGACTTTATATTACG